TATGAAGTACATCACAAGCGCGAATTCTCGGCCACAGAACCAAGAATAAATGAGGTCGGATACTAAGTGGGTACACACCGTACATCCTAAGATAGATGTGCCTCAAAAATTTGTTTTGTACCCGCTCCAACATCACCTTATACTTAATTTCATATGGATCTCTATATGATTTCTCACCAAAATATATTTTTAACATACTTATTTGATTAATATAACCTTTACTATTTATTGATTAGTGTCACTAATGACTAGGGACAAACATTAACTTATTTATTACTTAATAAAAAATTAATTATTTTACATACAAAAAGTAACATACTTTTAATAATAAAAGTAAGCTGTTTGTTGGTGAGTTACGGAATAGTTTTATTTAAATGTTTTTTATCTCTTATCTGAGCCATATGGCCCGAAGCTCCTTATGTCTTCTTATCTGACATTAGTTTTTTATAAGCATACAGGTAGATTTTTGGGCCTCGGTAATGAATATTTTACGCTTATTGCGCTGCAAGTAATTTAAGTAGTCATGGTAATTTTTTTTCTTTATTTTACAAAATAATATAATACAATCACAATATGTTACATTAGAAAACCGCTGTGGTTTATATTAATGTAACCATAGCAGTCTTGTTTAGGAGCGCGACAAATGCATATAAAAGTAGTTTTTTAATTTAATTTTATAAAAGCTTGCCCATGCCCGGCACACATATATATTTGTACAAGAGATTTAATGTGATAATGTGACTTATAGGCAAACCTAAAAAACACAAAGAGATTATAAAAACTTATACAAATTGAAAATTGATTTCAAAGTGTGAATAGCAACTATGGATATCCAGACCTAGTTGGTTTATTACAATGCTAATCTGGATATCGGTGAGTTTTGGCCAAACGCCTTCTTCTTAAAGGAGAGACAGATGGGATGGTGGGATGTCTAGGGTATCTGGACACGAAATGTAAATGGCCGATGGCTGGCCATGCGTCATACTCGTGAACGGGTGCTAACTGCTACTTGTGGTGACTGGTAGTACTTGAATTCGTGTATGCGGTGATGTTAGTGCGTGCTCCTACCTCACCATGCCTCTTGCTGATAGAGAACAAGTCTTTGTTTTTGATTTGTTTTGTTGTTCTTTGTTACTTAAGATGTCATGTGGAACATGGTGTAATGGTGTAATGGTGTAATGGTTGCAGCTCCCTTATAAACGTTGTGTAAAACAAAAAACTTGGCCATTAAAATGAGTGGCGGTGAGTTTATTGCCAGTTCTTCTCTTCCGTTCTACGCACTTGATTTGAGAACTGGCAGTAAATGTAAAATGCATTTTATGTATACATATTTATTTTTTGACGTTCATAACTGTACATTGTGTTACCTATATGAATAAATGATCTTTGACTTTGAAATTTAGTTAAAAGTTTGGTGCAATCAACCTGATTGTTAAATATCTTAAATGCCAACGATATGTCAATTAATTTTACTGGTAATCAGTCATCGTCGCCGAACGACTAACATCGGTTGTATCAGTCGAGTAACTGGATTAGTTTGGATCACCAATCTATTTACTTTTTTAGTGTTTTCTCGTCTCACGACTGCCCGATCGATCAATTGTATCTAGATGCCTTTCTATCACTGACCCGCCGTTATACGATTTCTCCTCTCCCTTGTTACGGTCACGAGAACATAAATACATAATCGAAATATATATATTTTTATAATAGGTGTTGGTTACGATACTTTTGGTAATGGTATCCGATTTCTATATACACGTCGTAAAATCAAGTTTATTAAGAAAATTATTTTACTATGTTATATTGAGTATTTGATAAAACAATAAATCAGTGGCGCTACAAGCTCTTTAGACCTGGGTCTCATATTTCTGAATCTGTGTCATGTGCATTTTTCCCGTACATCCGCGTGATATGCCAATTGAATATATATACGTATTTATAAACCTATAAGTTCCTAACATAATTTTGTTATGAAACCCGTGCTTTGAGCTGAGCATGAACTATTATCGTATGATAAATTGTGAGGAACTGGCTACTCACAAAAAACGACGTCACTGAAGACTCACGCACAAACATTAACATGTGAAGAAACACGGAAAAAGATAGAATCAGGAAGCCTAGCCCTCCTTTCACACGGAGTCCATGACCACCTCCGTCGCTATTCGCTTCAGCGGTAGAATAGTTATGTAAAATAAAAGACCGTATTCAACGAAGAACGATTCGAATCGTCGACAACCAGTCATTTTCCGAGCGGCTTGATCCCTTGGCGTTGCGTAGAGATATGGGATCACTCCGCATCTTCTACCATGGGGAGTGTTCAGAGGAGTTGTTCGGACTAATACCTGCAGCTGAGTTTCATCACTGTCGTTCCACAACTGAGCGTTTCTTAAGGCAATTTCTGCCGCGCACCACCGCTATGTGGAACCAGCTGCCCATTGAAGTATTTCCGAACAACTTGACTTAGGGTACTTCAAGAAAAGAGCGTACCAATTATTTAAAGGCCAGCAGCACGCTTGCGAGCCTTCTGGCAGTGCGAGTGTCCATGGGCGGCGGAATCACTTAACATCAGGTGAGCCTCCTGCTCGTTGGCCTCCTGTAACATAAAAAAATAAAAGTATCTTTAAAATATTAAGTTTAAAATAGGCGAAAAGCACTTTAAAATTGACTTGAGAGTGAGACTGATGAAGAGTTATACAACATTCAAAAGGTTATTAATGTTCAGATAAAATTAATTCGCGTATGCCCCCAATTGCAAAAGATTTACTCGTTTTAATTGATTCAATCAAGAGCACTCTGATGCTGTATTGTTTCCAAGTATTTATTACGCAAACTTTAGACAGAGTTTATCTTTGGTTTCTGTTCATGACTATTTTTGAAGTGAAACTTCTTTAGGCGCTTTAGACTAAAAATTTTACGGAACGTCACGAAGATGTGCAGCGATTTTGTCGAAGAAAAGGTAATGAGCGATTGAGAGAGAGTGAGGAGAACCTTAATAGAAATTTTATTTTTAATATTACAATTTCGTAAAGAGAATTTATCAAATATTTGTAAGTATTTTATATTTTATGCAAAATAATTTAAAATATATCTTATTAAATATATATATAATTAAAATATAATTTATTAAATGATCTCAAATGATGAATTGTAAATTAAAATGCCACATGTTTTTATTATCTATCGAAGACATATTATAAAAAAATATTATTTGTATTAATTTTCGACACTTGTAATATTTTAATGACAATTAAATTCATTAAATTCCTAACATATCTTCCTTTTTCCGTCCCTCTAAGTGTCGGAAATCTAAAGTTTTAGATTTTATTATGAACAAAAGTTGAAAATAAGTTTGCCAAAGAAGTTTCACTTCTGACATGTTTTCTTTGTACGCACGCACTTTTTTTAATATCATAGATAGCCCGAGATAGGCAAGTGTTGTGTTTGAAACCAATGGATTTATTTATGTGCATTGTAACACATAGTTTATCATTCATAAAAAAATGTCAATGAAACAAATGCAGAAAAGTCTGACCCATCCCCATATAATGAGCTACAAGCAATCGCAAAGTGTCTATTATGCTAAAACTAAGTTTTGACAGCGCAGCAGTATCGTTAGTTATGCAGCTCTGCTGTCAAAGCAGTACGTGATGTATCGCGCTTAATTAATTTGTTTTGAAATAATAATTATATGTGATCACATATAAAAGAAAAACCTTGACGATTCTAAAGAGTGAGAGAGTGTCTGCTAGTTCTTCTTGTCCGTTCTTAGTTTGGGAACTTGAAACTTTTTTAAAGACTTTTGGAGTAAAACAAACTTGACGTATTCTATACGAGATGTTTTTATAAATATCACGTTCGATGTTTTAACTAAACTCCTATGAAATTGTGTAGTTTTCATTGTTTTAAATTCGCGATTTTGGGATGTCTTCATTCGTATGAAATGTAGATTACATTGCTCCAGTTTCATTGCATTCTTTGTATATATCGATGTTATATGATTTTCATAACATGAGTTACATACATAACATGTCAGTGATGTTATGTATCGTCATCATAATGATTGTCAATTAAATGTTATGCGCAGTTTTAAGATGAAATATCTCTGAGTATATCAGTTTAGAAAATACTATCAAATATATTTTTCGAAACAATTTTTGTTGGCTTTATAGCGTGGGCGAGTATTTAAACCATAAGTTTGACAACAATTATAAATAACTCAACTTATCATTATGACATTATGTTAATGTTCTTATTATTTGACATTGGCCTATTTTTATATGGCTGAATGTGTGGCGGGTTTTTTATAAGTAATCCTTCTAATTGTACCACTATCTCTGCAAATAAACGATTTATTGTTATTATTTATTATTAAAATTTTTACAAATTATGTGCCACTAAGTATATTGTTTGGTTATTACAATTATAAACAGATCTTATTACTGAGAATCAATAAAAAATATGTAAATAGTCTGTATAATATATAACACGAAGGTCTGTAGCCCTCGCTCTATTGCAATTTCACAAAGCACTAATCTATCAGACTTCTTATTATACTGATGTATTCACAAACCTTTCTAAATAGCACTCATCCAGTCGTTAACTTTCTCAATGACCTGCGCGAGCGCAGATTCAATTGCACTTCATCGTAATTCGTTTTCTCACTACAATCCTTATTCCACAGCAATACGGGTGTTAAATGAGTGGTTTTTTTAATCAATATCGGATGTCGACTGATAAGGTGATGAACTAGAATTCAGGTTACAAGTACATATGATAATTGTGTCAACTGTCACTGTAGGCTTAAGTTTGCGAGTCAGTTTTGCGCGGGCATTTGTTGCGGAAGGACGTGTTTGTAATATTAAGATTTATATTTGTTAAATGTGTGAGATTATCAGACAGTTTTAGGTGAAAACTTATTACTTTTTTTATTGTGAAGTGTTTTTAAAAGAACCCATTAAAATAGTGTTAATATTAAGTTAACAATGAAACAGTAAACCATGCGTCGGGTCAAAATGAATGTGAACCCTGACTTGGGTGATTTAGAGGAGATGCTTGCTCATGTTCAAACGCAGATTGAACAGGAGATTGACATGGAGAAGGAAAACAAGATGCCGTCAATTATCAGCGTTCAAGAATCACCAAAGATGAAGAGGAATGGATCTTTCAACCGATCAGAGAGTTTAGAATACCGGCGTCCCCCACGCCCTACGAGGTTAAATGGAGATGGACCTCAGTCTTTGGAGTATAGAAATGGCGATTATGGTACCACCAATGGTGTTAAAGGATCCCAAAGCAGCTTGAAGTCGAACGATGACTCTCAGGTGTCCTTCCAGTCTTTTCGTTCGGAACCTGTGCAGCGGCACTCGGTTCTGAGTCTTCAGGATAAAAGGGAGGCTTTCATGAATGGATGGTCTAAAACTGCGACTTTGCCGAGAGGATATGGCTCCACTAAAGAGAAGAATTGGGAGGAGTATTGGTCACAGTGAGTACAAATTAAACTACTTTGAAAGTCATTATACAGGCGTGGTATTTCTCCTGAATCCGCTCAAATTCGATTCGCGTCTTTATTTGTTTGTAAGAAGGTGTATTTTTCAATGTCCCGGTGTCATTCCCCTGAATTTAATAATTGTAATAAATTAATTTATATTTGGAAAACAAAATTTCTGTATATTTTTTCATATATGGGCATTATGACTATCATAACTTAGAAGTATACAGGTAGAACAAAACCGTTGAAAAGTTTTACTAAAAGTAATAGTTTACTATTTATTTATTTCGTAATCCTACAGCTACAAAAATTATATATAAGAAATAACAATTATACTATAGATATAGCCAAAGATGTAATAATAATGTAATACATAATATATACAAAAAAGGTTTAAACATTTACGGAACGAAAATTTCTATTAAGAAACTAAGTAAAACCTAATTTGGCTGTGTTGTGTGATGGTGTAAAAGTAAGGGTATGTACGTGAAGGTGTTTATGTGGGGTGTGCTCATGATGCAGGTGATTTAGAGCTATGGAATATTAATACTTCTTTTAAGCATATTCCGCGATAGTTTTTAAAAGAATTGATTCACGTGATTCTTATCAAGCCTATATCGACCGGTCGAGCGCGTCAGAGATACATCTATCAACATTGATCAATCACTATGACACGACATTAAGATGGTTCCAGTCTTGTAGATTGTCAAGGGAAGTTTGGCGTTAAACAATTTATTTATAAGTTCTAAATCAACGGGTATGCAAATTATACAATGAAATACAAATTTTACACACATCCATTATATAAGAACATAAGCAAGCTAGCAAGGGGGAAAATTAAACAAGCAAACACAGCACACACCTGAAACGAACTTGAACCGAAAGGGAAAAGAGAATTTTTTATTATCTCTCATTAAATTTTATTTTTTTGATTATTGTTGTTATGTGTGTGTGTTTTGTTAGTAATAAATGTTATGCCTATTTATTTATTTGGAAAACAAAACAGTAACATCTCTATACAATAAAAAAAGTTAAAAATAAACACATTAGGTAGATGAATCCATAAAATGTTTCACTGATAGAAGATATAATATGATACCGAACAAAGCAAAACAAAACACGACAGCACAAAATCTATAAATCCGGAGATCGACTAACATACTGGTAGCTATAATAATCTAGGTAATGTTAAATAAAAAAAATAAAAAAATCATAACTAAAACTAAATGAAAACTTAAACCTCCTTAAGAGCATAATAAACAAAGTTGGAAGACTGTTGTAAAATATACGTATATCAATCAATTTATATTATTATTAATAGGTGACATTATCACCGCACAGGTACTTACTATTACACATACAAACTACGGTACTAGATGTACACTGATGTTGTAATAATAAGCCCTATTTGAATAACGGTTACAATGGCAGATTCAAAAACAATATCTTTTGTTTTGTAACTTGTAAAACAATCTACTTCCAAGTAGGTGAAAGTTGGTTTTATCTACCTCCAGTTGAAGCAGGTATATTTGGGATTTTTGTTGGGTAAGGTACGATTCTAATGCGCGTAATATGTTTTTTATCGCATGGTTGCACTGGTTATGTTTGGGCACGTAAAATGTATTAAAACTACTGGTTTACGTGAATTATGTCCTTTTAAGCTGTTATTGATAATTAAATCTTTACTCTAACGATGGATGTAATATTTTATGTAATATTTTGTTTGCTTATATAATTTCTGCCGCGCACCACCACTATGTGGAACCAGCTGCCCAGTGAAGTATTTCCGAACCAATTCGACTTAGGGTCCTTCAAGAAAAGAGCGTACCAATTATTTAAAGGCCGGCAGCGCGCTTGTGAGCCTTCTGGCAGTGCGAGTGTCCATGGGCGGCGGTATCACTTAACATCATGTGAGCCTCCTGCCAGTTTGCCTCCTGTAACATAAAAAAAAATGTATGTACTGTGTTAACAGTGGTTCTATTGTTATAACCGGCCCATTTAAAGTGTAAGTCTGGTAGCTTGGTGTGACTCTCATCTCTGATATCGCAGGTTTGATTCTCGGCACCAATGGTATTTTCTTTCTTTGCGCGCAATTTATTTAATACTCGCAAAAAGTGGACGGCGAATGTCAGGCACAGAAGGCTACTACCTATTTGCCCATTAGAAAAAAAATCACAAAGATACTAAAATCTGTGGCCTAGTATAATGATGATTAAAAAAAGTGCGTACAAAGTACACATGTCAGAAGTGAAACTTCTTTGGCAAATGAGTCTTGTTCATATTTATACTATACTATATTATCTACAACTTTAGATTTACGAGACTTAGAGGGAGGGACAAATGAAGATATGTTAGGAATTTAATTAATTTAATTATCATTAAAATATTATAGTCGAAAATTAATACAAATTATTTAATTTTTTCACTTTATGATTTCACTTCAAAAAAACACTTTTAATGCTCCTCTACTTACTATTATATGTTGTTATTCAATAATATATCTATGAAGCCGTGGAATAGTGAAAGAGCTTTTTCAGTTTTAGGTCAAAAGCTCTTATTGCGAGGCAAATAAACGAGAACGTCCTTACGCGCTTTGTTTATTCACCTTAATTATACAGACAGTGAAATTTCATAGAACGTAGACATAATTGCAACAATTATAAGTGTAATTAACAGTGTTTGAGAGAAATTGCTTTTATCTAGAAGACCGCCCATTAACGTCACTTGTTTTTTTTCTGTTTTTTAACATTCTAACTCAAAATAATTTTATTCATATAGGTAAAGAACTACACTTATGTCTAGAATCTGGATTGGAAATAATTTTAGATAGATCAAGTGTAGAAAGCCGTAAGGCATGCTGGTGTCCTCACGATTTTTTCCTTCAGCGAGTGGTAAATGCGCACGTATCCATTTATACACAGCCACTAGGCAAACACTGTATTTGTTTCTTAACAAGAGACATCACTTGAAATTAGACCCTTGGCCAGTGGTTGTAAAAACTATGTATTTTTTTTAAACTATTGTATATATTAACACATCTGTTGCGCATCTTAGGATTTTGTATGTTTTTTTTATCGTCTATGGTTTGCATTTCTTATAGTAATAGTTGTGTTTGTATAAATTCTAAAAATTAAGTTTAGTTTTGTTAGTGTTCTAGTATTTGTATTTAGGCGACGATTTAACGAATTACATAGGTTAATTTATCATTGTCCGTTGAGTGAACTGTCAAAAATCCTTTTTTTTTTCTTTTTTTTAAGACAATTCACACCAATTGACCTAGTCCCATGCTAAGCTGGTGAAGCTTGTGTTATGATTACTAGGCAACGGATATACATACATTTTATAGATAGATAGACATATAAATACATATTTAAACACCCAAGGCCTAAGCACAACATCAAATGCTCATCACATCGATGTTCGTCTCAGCCGGGGATCGAACCCGGGACCCATGGTTTCGCAGTCGGGGGTACTAACCACTAGACCAATGAGTCGTCAATATTATTTGTTAGTTTCTATCTTCTTCTTCTTTTAGTGCCTCTCCATTACTGGAGGTTGGCCGTCAGTATTTTGAAGCGTGTCTTGTCCTGTGCCAGATGCAGCAACTCTTCCGCAGTTGCAATACCCGTCCACTCCCTAACGTTGCGAAGCCATCATTTCTTCCTTCTACCAACACGCCGTTTACCCTGGATTTTACCAATTATAATTAATTGAAGGAGGTGGTAGCGGTCATGGAGCAACACGTGGCCCAGGTACGCAACTTTCCGTTGTTTAATGTTCTGCAAAAAATTTTTCGACATTCCATCTCGTTTCAGAACCTTCTCGTTAGAGAACTTCTGGATCCATTCTGGTTAGTAGTAGTCTAGTTAGTTTCTATAGTAGTTAGTTAAATTCTTGTATTTTTTTATTATGTATTGTTTTTTCTAATTAATTTCTTATGTTTGTTTTTTTCTTTTTTCGTCTGTAAATTTGATTCACATATTGTGTACTCTTGTTCTATTTAGGGTGGCCTGGTTTTAAAAAATAAATATGTACTATACATACATTAAAAAAAAAAAACAATTTATGGCACATTATTTATTAGCAGCCAGGTCATGTTGTCTTCCGACATAGGCCCCCTTGGCCCCCATATCTTTGCACTGGCTCCGTACGAGCTGAATAGTCTATTCAGCAGCTGCTGAAGCTGAAGCTGTAAACTTACCCAGCTACTTAAGAAGCGACCACGGATGTGAATGTTGAGTTCCTATGACGTAATGCCATATTAGAGATATGGAGGAAGAACTGCTTCGAAATTGGATTTCGACGATGACGTCATAATTATTGGAATTGTTGATTCATTTGTTTTACTGTGTAACCTTGCTGCTCCATATTTGTACGAGCGCTAAATAAGTCAAATTTTAATCCGCTATAACTGTGTTTTATTTGTTGTGACACCAGGCAAATAGCACGGCCTTCTGTGGCAATACTTGTCTGCCTACCCACGTCCGTACACAGTATGTTTTGAACAGTAAGCAAATCAAAGTATTAATAGTACCTATCAATTTATTCTATTTAGAATAAGTTATGTTTGCTCGCACTAAATGTACATTTTAGTATTTAAATCGATTAAACATTTTAAATCAGTGGCGCTACAACCTTTTTAGGTCTGGGCCTCAGATTTCTGAATTTGATTCATAATCATTTGTGTACGTGGCAAGTAGGTAATCAGCCTCCTGTACCTGACACACGCCGTCGACTTTTTGGGTCTAAGACAAATCGGTTTCCTCACGATGTTTATTGATTTAACTTACAGATTTCCGAAACTAGATTTTTTTTGTTTCTGAGAAACGAATCAAAGACCGTGATTGCTACAGCTAATTATAAAAATTCTATAGTTTTTATCTGTTTATTCGTTACTCAATTACCTGGAAATATGATAACCGTAATTAATCATTTTAGCTTTCTTTAAATTTTGACACAATTGGTTCTGAAAGAGACCTTAAAAAAACACATTTTATGTTTTGTACATGTCGCAAGTGCGTTGCCGGCTTTTTAAGACTTGGTACGCTCTTTTCTTGAAGGACCCTAAGTCGAATTAGTTCGGAAATACTTCAGTGGGCAGCTGGTTCCACACAGTGGTGGTGCGCGGCAAAAACCACCTTAAAAAACTTTCAGTTTTAGATCGATATACATTAATGTAGTTACAGAATGAGGATATTGCTTTAAATTTGACGCTTTCCTCTGCGTAGGCGCATGTAGGCTGACATTGCGTGAGCACTTTCGTCATTGCCCTTTTTAATGCGAATTGTGACAAATATTAAGTGGTGAAATCGGTGAATTTTAATTAAATTTTAAGTGCATTGATTTAAAAAATGCAAATTTTAACGTGAACTTTCGGTTTTGGCACGTAAAGGTTTATTTTTACTTTGAAATGTTGTACGTCTTAATATAGTTATGTTACTGTAGGCTGTGTCAAACGATTTGATTTAGCAGAACAACGCAACGAAATGGTCCCATAGAAGAGTTAAATGTTATTGAAGGACACAAGGGAAGAGCGTAACAATTCTTAAAAGCCAGCAACGTACTCACGAGTGTCCGCTACCGCCGCCTATTGACAGTCACCTTCTGGCAGTGTGGGTGTTAATAGGCGATGGCATTATCCTCTTGCCCAAGCCCGCAACGCCTTCTGGCATGCCCATGGGCGGCGGCACACTTTAGCAAGTCTACGAAACTAGTGGCTTGGCTTCGTCTATATTCAAGACCTAAAAATACCACATAACTCTATTTTTTTTTTAATTTTTAAACATTTGTTACAGCGAGCAGTCGATAAGCAGCGCGCGCGCGTCGGTAATGGTGTACGATGACTCTCTCAAACGCTGGATTCCCTCCGGCTCCAGCTCGGGGCTGTCTAAGGTCCACATCTATCATCACACCCAACATAACACTTTTAGAGTGGTGGGGAGGAAGCTGAATGACCATGAGGTGAGTATTTATTTCTCGAGATACCGTCTCAGAACGGTTTTTCATTTCGATTTTGTTTAGTAGCTTTATTTTGTATTGAATAAAAGTCACGTCTAAATAATTTAACTTCCAATCATATCTTAGTATTAATAGTAGCTTAATTTTGATGGAATAATAAAACTCGCTACGATTTCCCAATAATACGTTATATTAATAACGGACTTGTCTCTCTTGTGTCTGTCTTGTTTATATTGAAAGAACTCAGACGCATAACAGCGTCTCAATTTCATTCAAATTGTAATAAAACCTTTTTTGTTTGTCTAATGAATTTGAATAAAAAAAATATGTTATAAATTTGAAATAAGTTTTAATTGGTCAGTTTATTACTTAGTTATTGAGAACCCAATGATTTCATTTTTTCTCTATTTCTTTGTCTATCTACCTTTAAATCTATACTGTACAAGCATTTTACACTGGCCACATCGTGTGCCTTAACTTCAGTACTAACTGATCTAACTGAAATCATCGCGATTCATGTGTGTTTTATTATACTTTACATTGTCTATAGTTTTTTATTTTGATTCATTCTTTAGGTCTAAGTAATTGAACGTATATATCTTATGTAGATAGAACTTCTTGCACACACCTTATTTAATGTAATTCTCACAGAGCCCTCTTTTTTAATTATTTTAATTGTACTTTATATAAAAAAAAACTAGCGGCCCGTCCCTGCTTCACCCGTGCGAAGGGTGGACATAATTTTTTTTTTAATTTTGTAGATATTGATACGTATACCTCTTTGCTCTTTATAATATTAGTATAGATACATAAAATAATTTCAGGTGGTAATTAACTGCGGCATCGTCCGAGGCCTTAAGTACAACCAGGCGACTGCCACATTCCACCAATGGCGCGACGCGAGACACGTGTACGGTCTGAACTTCTCCTGTCGCGAGGACGCTGACAGCTTCGCTAGAGCCATGATGCACACCCTGGAGGTAGGAAATTCTTCATATTCAAGTTTTCAGAATTGTCGCTGTCTACTCTATAACGTGTGAACACAAGTATTTTTTCGATAAAGCCTGTAGATTAAAATCCTGTGACAGAAATTTATTCATTTGTTTTAGTGTTTTTAGACTAAGACATAACATTGATTACTTACGAAACACATAAAATAATAATAAACAAAAAATAATAAAAAATATTTTTTTTTCTTTTAAAGAATAAGTTAGTAAGGTAACTGGCACTGGCTCAGCATTATGCTGAGGAGCAGACTGTTGAACAGAGCTGGTCATTCTGCTAGAGACCACAACAGCTAGTTTTTCGTGATCTGATGCATTCTGCTACACTGGTTGTCGTATTTATTCTTCTTTCTCTGTCATTGGTGGGTTTAAGACCGGACACTAGCCAAAATCACTCATCGTAGATTCGATTTTATCGAAGTATGTGATGTTTGAATTAAAAACAATAAATTATTGATCCTTCACTATAATTTCAATTGTTGACTCTAATTTAAAGCACAATACAATATAAATTCATCGATACAAGAAAACACAAAGTTCGTTTTTGTTCAATCATGAAGCCAAAAAATAATTGATTTACAGCACATTAGTTTGGCCGACAGTTGTTACTAGCGATTTTATTATATATTGTTTATTTTACGAGTTATTTAAATAAAAAGCGTTTAGCGTTTTACTTCATTTTTGTTTCGCAAAACACCGTATCGTCCGTTTCATGTCCCGCGAACTTCAGACGTTCTTTTGTTTCACTAGTCACTAGAGCTGGCGGAGGGAGACGCGCGGGTGAAGGGTGAAATCATGAATTGTTCTAGCCTAGGGCGGTCAACACGTTTAAATTCTTATTCTAGGGTACGTTCTTTAAGTTCAATCAAAGACTTCATTTTTGGCGTTGTAAAGCTCAATGAGAGTAGCACAATGCTCTCCAGGCCCACTTGTTACAAGAAGCCTATAATTACAGTGTAAACTCTATATAACGAATTTCAAGAGACCAAGCACTAATTTGTTATAGAGAGGTTTCGTTATAGCCAGAGAAGAGAAAAAAATCAAATTTAACCAATTACAATAATTTCCTATAATAGATAGGTGACGATAGCGCGTTTAGTAACTTTAGACCAGTCAGTCAAGACAATTAATTCATAATAATTCCAAAAGTTTTCAAATTTTGATGTAAGGTCGGGAGTGGTATTAAAACAAACTATAAAATTTTGCAACCTGCTCTGCGGTCCGGAACATTGTTAAAAATGCAATAAATGATAATTTGCTTAGTTCTTGAGACCAAAATTCCAAAAGTTCTGCAAAGTTGGAGTGGTGTTAAATATATTATTTTACATCACGTGTCAAATTTGCAACCAATTTAAGTGTACGGAACATTATTTAATTAATGTTGTTCTTTATTAAACTGAAGGAAAACGTTCCAAAAGTTCTGCAAATTTGACAGATATATCGAAAATAAAATAAATAACAAAAAATGTTACGTACACTTAGGTTGGTTGCAAATTTTATACGTGATATGAAATAATATATCGAAAACTTCCCCAAGTTTGCAGAACTTTTGGAATTTTTTTCACGACCATACAGACATAAAATTAATTTAATTGCAATTTTAACAATGTTCCGGACTGCGGACAAGGTTGCAAAATGAGATTTATTGTCGTCCCAATGTACCATTCACTTGACCGAAGTTTGAAAACTTTTGGAATTATTATCAAATTTTCGATTTCGAATGTCTATAATGACTGGCCTATTAGACCAAAATTTCCTACAGGCAATGTAATCTAAGAATAATGGCACGCGTGTTAATGCAATTAACAATAACAAAGGCGAGACGGCTGTTTATGACCTCAGGTGTCTTACTTAGAAAATTCGGCACCTCAAAAAGATAGTTTTGTAAGCTGATTATAAAAAAATGTTTGTTGCATTAAAAAGAGTGAATTAATGTATGGGTTTTGTGTTAAACCAAGATTTTTTCTTTAATAACGAATGACGTTATAAAGAGTTCACACTGTATGTGGTACATTCCAGGTGTTAGCGAACAAAGTCAGCAATAACTCCGCGCCGCCCCCGCCACAGCAGCCTAACCCTCCCGGGCCTTACAACGGACACAACAACACGCACTACGACGAAGATATGGGGTATAGGTGAGGTTTACATTTGAGACCTTTTCATATATTTCATAATTATAATTTAGTTATTAAAGCAGTTATATTGGTAGTTGTATTGTCCTAAATATTATATTAGGTTAGCTTTAAAGTATATTTAGTCTTTAAATTAATAATTTAATTATCTCATTCGAATCCTTTGAGAATATAGCAGAATAAACTCCTACTTGATATATTCGCTAGTGAATTTTATAAAAAGCATTGTTAATAGACTGTATGGAATTTTAATTTTTTGACACATTTGTTTACCATAATTGTTACATAACAAAGTTTGGAAAAGGTAGCTTGTGTGTGTTGAAAAGAGACAGAGTACTTTAGTTAATACGATGAAATTAGAATGTTTTTTTAAGCTATTGCATAGATTTTATCGCGGGCTTTGAGCGCGGCCACCGAATCAAGAAATTCCGTAACGAAAAAACCTAACACACGATGACGTAATAGACGTAGAGCGGGACAGAACGCATGCTGCGTATTCACATCTCTCTGACGAGATCGGTGCAGCCGGTGCGTGTTAGAGTGAGACAGACATATAGGCGAGTTAGTCCGAGTCTGGTAGAGTGGTAGATTGAATTAATTTATCAAAGAAAAAACTTGAATTAATATCAAAGAAAAAAAAAAACTGCATAAATAAATAATTATAATTGCATAAGTTGAAAAAAATTATGCAATAGCTTTACCGCGGCAGTCCCCGAGTGCCACACGTTTTTTTTTATGAATAAGGGGGTAATTTTGTAATGATACCATACATGCCTTAGTCTTATAGATATAGCAGGTACACTACTTTAAAAAATATCAAATAATACCTCTATTTAATTTGTAAAATGTTATGTTCAATTAAAAAAAGTACTTATTCTTTCATTACAAGTAAAAACTAAAAATTTTATATTTTTTTGTAAAATTTATGTCGACCATAATTGGCTTGTATTTTAGAATATATTTTGACATATACTGTAAAAAAAATTATGTGGTGTTCTTTAATTAATAAATAAGTTTACATTACCACTCAAAAATACCCATATCCTAATTTCAGAACAATGACCCGAGAGGATGCAGCCATGCTCCAACAGCCTCAATACCACGCTCCTCATCATCAGCACCAGCTTCCACAGCATCAACCGATTCCACATCAGCCGGTGATTAACATTTAATAGAACATCACATAACAAACTACTATATTGACAAAAACAAAACTATTATTAATAAAGAAATGCATTTAGATTTAAGCTTTTTTTATTAGTAAAGTTGTAGTCTTAATAATGCGAAGATTATTAATTAAAATACTTAAGACTGAAACAGGTTCAAAAAATATATGATTTCAAATTAAGTTAATTGTAATATAATTTTAAAATTATTTAAAATCTGTAGTCGCGTTAGTTATTATAAAACTATGTATTATTAAACTCATACGAGTCTGTAATTATTTCAGCAACCGGTGCCAGTGCAGCATCAGCAGCACCCGATGACCCCTCAGCACCAGGTAGCTCATCCTCAGATCAACCACCAGGTGCCACATCAGCCCATCCCACCGCCCAGCCAGTACCACGCGCCTCATCATCACACCGTGAGTTCACTCCCAGTTTCACTTGGCCGGCTTGGTTATGGTGTACATTAGTGAATAGAATTTGGAATATATATTATTTATTTAAGGGAGCATTCCACTATTACGTAACTAATTATAGGGGGGGGTTTCAATAATCTAAAATCGATATGGCTTGTAGTTCTTTAAAAAATGTGGACAAACATACATAAATTTTTGAAATTTAGCTTACCTTATTTGAGGCCCATTTCAAAAACATCAATACAGACAGATCACTATAATAACCTCTTTTTTGAAATCAGTTAAAAAAGGTATCATTCCCCGAGTCTGGATCAAAGCCTGGTAAATTGGTTAGATTTTTTGTTGTAATTAATAAGTATTGTAAAAATAGAGTAACGCGGTAAAGTTATTAGTCAGTTGGGGCATCAAAGCATATCTATCCCCAGACGGGTCCAGCCGTGCAATCTGCGCCCACGCCGCCGCCCCACGGCGTGCACACGCTGCCCCATGCCCAACACGCGCCGCCTACGCACTCGCACCATCGCACTAACAGGTAACTCACATATTTCTAGTACTATTGTAAAAATATTTTTAAGTTTTTTTTATTTTTTATTGAAGTTATATTTTATAGTTAAATGTATATGTATTGCTTCAAGAATAAATACATATTAAGTTGATGAATATTATTTTTAAATTAAATTATATTCCTGGTTACCTGATAAAACATTATATGTAAATATATAATATAAATATTTTAATGTTCACAGTGCCCCCATGCCCCCAAACATGTCCCTAACTCCTGCGAGTGGTTCAACTGCACCACCCCCAGTGCCACCTCACCAAAATCTACCACCAGCGGCTAATGTAAGTATATTTTTTTTATTGTACATCCTACTATTGTATAGTGAAATTAATTTATGGGAATATTTTTATTTGATGAATATTTAATATTTGGTTATTTTTTTTAAAATCATTTATTTTGAATTATTATTGTCATATATTTCTAGGGCCCCGTTGCCCCACCGACGCCTCCAGCAGCACCACAGCCGCCACCAATGGTAAAGTTCATTATTTGTTCTTACGCGTTTGAAAAGTGTTAATTTATCAAATTTTAACAACTTAAATATACCTTTAATTACTTAGTTAAATGTTTATAATAAATTTTTTTGTCTTTTTCCTTTCGTAAATGTAAATTTTTTTGTATATATAATGTAAAATTATTTTTTGTTATATATAAAGTTAGCTGAAGGATTACGAAATAAATAATTCTTTTTATAGTGTTTATGTGTAGAGGATTTGATATCATGTACTGACTGAATCTCTTCACTTCAGCTCCAGCAGCAGCCGCCACCTGCACCTCCGGCGCCCCCTCCGGCAGCGGCTCCGGCTCCACCTCCGCCACCTCCTCCCCCAGGGGGAGCAGTGGCCTCTCCTCCGCCGCCGCCGCCGCAGCCGCAGCCCCCGGTCGTTGACCCCACGGGGCTAGCCGCGCAGTTGCAGCAGGCGAGACTTAAAAGACAGGCTAAGGTAAGCGATTTATGGGTAAAGTTCAATGTGTCTTCAAATAATATATTACTGTGAGCAAAATAAAATTCTGTATTATAAAAAAATACCATGTCCTTTTTAGGCCTGGGCCTCAGATTTCTGTATCTGCTTCATGATCAATTGTCAATCTTATAGGCAAGTAGGTGATCAGCCTCCTGTGCCTGACGCACGCCGTCGACTTTTTGGGTCTAAGGCAAGCTACACTATGTTTTCCTTCACCGTTCGAGTGAATTTTTTTGGAGCACAGCCGGGGATCGAACCTACGACCCCAGGGATGATAGTAGCACGTTGAAGCCTCTTTGCAAACTCTGCTTTCTGAATTTAATTAATTTTATATAATAAAATAATTAGGACATGCAATATTTAGTAGTTTCAAGATCTATTTTCATAACATTATAACAATAAATTTAAAAATAATATTAGCTAAGACTGTGTCATTGTTCTGAGGTCAACAATTTACTTCTAATTCTTTATTAACTTTTACAATCTCATCGCAGATTTTTATAGGGTGAACTTTGATTTATTGTTTATATGTGTATAATGAAACAATGAAACAAAATTTAAAGTTTGTTATTTTACTTGAAAATCACTTTTATCCTATTTCTTTTATAACCAATCCAAAATGTATTAACAAAAAAGTTATCGTATTCAAATTCAAATTTGAATGACTAACATATAGACATACAAAACTAACGGCTTTTCCACAAACTAACAAACAAATTGAATAAAACATCTGTTAAAAAAAATAGATTACAGTCAAAACCGGTTATAACGACATTGAAGGGACCGTATAGTTGCCGACGTTATATCCGATAGTCGTTATAAGCAATGTCATGTACACAAGTACAGTACATATGTATGTACATAGTTATCGATCTAGAATAGGTAGGTATGGGTTATAATATGGTATGTTAATATTATAATATGTAAACGAGTCAAAAAAGAAACATAAATATTTATTACGAAATAATTAGGTACAAAAGTAATCAGTCAGTCTGTTTTTTTTAGCCCAGTCTCAAATATTTTTTGCATTTTACGTTTCATACTCCTCAAGGTATGAGTATCACCAGTATCAAACTGTTCGTTAAAGGCAACAAATTTTTGCAAAATCGTTACAGCGTTAAGAGCCTCGGAAATCGTTGTTGGCTGAAACTGTTCGTTGGGAGAAAGTGCGTAGGTAATAATATGCCTAAATATTCATTCAATGCTTATAAATAAAATTTAAAATCGTTTGTATTGTTTTGTTTTACTGAGACAAGAAGCGGTTGGTCGTTATATCCGATGAATATCGATAAACTTTCGTCGTTGTAAGCGATATGTCGCTGTATCCGATGTTGTTATAAGCGGTTTCTTTACTGAATAGTTTACTAGGGATTCGGACGGGACCATACAATCTGGTTGTAATAACCGATAGGTCGTTGTAAACGATGTCGTTATAAACGGTTTTGACTGTATTAATAATCTAAAGAATTTAATCCAAGAAATACATATATATTGAGTAACTTCTGTTTTATTGTTAAATAATAAATTTATATGAATAAAGAGTATTTAATAAAACCTTTCAGCAAGCCAACACAGAGGTGGCTTCGCCCCCGGGAGGCAACAGCGGGGGCAGCGCGGGGAGCACCGACCATTCCTCTTCATCGTCAGGTCGAGCCAGCCTCCACTGCATGATGCACGAGATGCAGCGTACCCTGGCCAGGAGAAGGGCGCATCTGGATAAGGCTGAGGTAAAAATGTCAAAAATTTAACCTTTTGAAGTGAAACTTCTTTAGGCGCACGAGGGTAAAAAATTTACATAAACATCACGAAGATGTGCAACGTCGAGACCGATTGAGAGAGAGTGAGAAGGGCGAATTACATTTTAGACATTCTATTTGTATAATTAAAGTTTCATAAGGAGAATTTATGAAATATTAGTATTTTATATTTTATGCAAAATAATTTATTGAAATCTCAAATGACGAATTGTAAATTAAAATGCCACGTGTTTTTATTATCGAAGAAATAAATGAAAAAGAAATTATAATTTTTATTAATTTTTTGACACTTAATATTTTAATGACAATTTAATTCATTAAATTCCTAACATATCTTCCTTTTTCCTGCCCTCTAAGTCTCGGAAATGTAAAGTTTTTGTTTTGTATAAATATGAACAAGACTTAAAAATTAGTTTGCCAAAGAAGTTTCACTTCTGGCATGTGTACTTTGTACGCACGCACTTTTTATTAGATTTATTTATAGTTTAAATTTCTTCTTTCATATGATTAATATTTAACAGCTAACACTTGCTTTGTTTTACCTTCCAGGAGACATCGGCAGATAACTCGGTGAACTCCACCCCGATGAAGAGCTGGGAGCGTTCGGCGACGTTGCCGCACCGACTTCCCGCTGCATGTAATGGCAACACTCGTGAGTTGGCGCCGCTTTTTGTGTTGCCATATTCATTCAGAAATAATAAAATATCTAGATCTATTTGGATGACAATTGATCAAAGTCTGTCTGGAACATATTTTGCTTATGCAATGCATGCCCATAGAGCAGCACTTCTTTTATTTGTATTGAATATTGATAAAGTGTACAATTATTATTCTACAATTTATATGTAGGGTCAGGATGGCATTCATCAAAAACTCATCTTGTGTGATGTATGTGGGTAGGTAGGTAGGCAGATGGGCGGGAGCAGAAATATCACAAGTCGTTGTTTCAATTACAGTTGTTTAATCAGCACAGGGTTTAATAATCGAAATACACAGTCAATTGAGCAATGTACAGTCTAAGCAACACGACATCAACTTAATTATAACACTACATTAAACTATCACTCCGATGCAAAGCGATTCGTCACAAGCGTGGTGTGCGAGCGACGTCTCTAACATAGTGCCCCAAGATGGCCGCTCTCACAACCATCGACAATGACGCTTCGCTAGGCTGACTTTGTCAGCTAAAAGTCAACCTGATGTCTGACGTTGACAGATGCGCCGTCATATACTTAATATTTGTATGTTAAAAGTATTTTAAGGTAAAAGTCTCGTCCATATTTTCCCATGTCTTTTCGTGTTTAGCTACATTTATCCAGTTTTTCCCCGCTAGTTCTATTACGTTATCTAGGTGCGGTCTATACGCGTTAGAGCGGGACAGAACGTATACTGCGTCTCACATCGGTCTGACGAGATCGGTGACGTAGCGTAAGCGCGGTCGGTACGCGTTAGAGTGAAACAGACTATATAGGCGTGTTAGTCTAAGTCTGGAAGATTGAATTAATATGGAAGAAAAAAAATGCTATGCCATAGCTTTACTGCGGCAGTCCCCGAGTGCCACACGTTTTTTGTAGCTATTCTTTCTCTGATATTATTATTTCCGTTTTTGTGTCACAGTTACCATTTTAATAAGTATGTTTAAAAACGTTCCAGCTAGTGCCGAGTCCCCTGCGCAGCCGCAACCGCAATCGCCTAGATCTGCACGAAAACGGTTCGGATCGGCCAGCGAAGAAACTATACTAAAGGTATATTGAGAAATAGGCCTTGTAAAAGTATTTGTTTTAATCATTTTTTATTATTTTTCATTTCATATAGATTTGGATAATAATTAGACATATTTAAATTTTACAGCAAGTGAACGGAACCGAAGGTGGCTGCGTGTCAGCGGCTGAGTGGGAGGGTTTCAAGCAAGAGCTGATGAGGGAAGTCAAGACGCAGCTCACGCAGATGAAACGCGAAATACTTGACGGTAGGTTCAAAAAATATGTAAATCATGTCCTAAACGAATTGGACAAAAACTAACATACCCTCAACAAAAAAGTAAATTTTAAATAAAATGGTCTTTTGGCAAGGTATATTATATAGTATACTAGCAGACCGCCCAAGCGTTGCTGTGGCTAAGGTTTTAGTTATATTACATAGTAGTAACCTATTCAAGGGAAACGGTAGGAGAACACCCGTCATGGGGACCACCATGCTTTTTTGATAGTAATGCCATTAAATAGTAGCTTATGTGAAACGTTGGTACTTTCAACACAGCGCCATCTGTTAGAATTGTGACTATCAAATAATAAACAAATATTGCGGGTATGAATTGAGATGTAAGCTATCCTATCTTTTAAGTTAAATCAAACTGCACACGGTGTGCAAATTTGATTGAAATCGGTTCGCTAGTTTAGGAGTCCATAGCGGACAAACAACGTGACACGTAATTTATATATATTAAGATTATGTGTATATATATATATATAAATAAATATTAAAATGATTAATAGTAATTTTGTAAAAATAAATCATACTTTAAATTCTTGTGTACATTATTGACCTAGATTCCTGTTTATCATATATGGATTCCTATATCACATAAACTACTGAACCAATTTTAATGAAACTTGGGACTGTTACCTAAGTTGCAATATACCATATTTAAATATAATATGTATATATATATTGACAAAAACAATAAACTAAAAATAAAAAAGTGTTATGAAAAATAATAAAATAATCAATATAAACTTTGGTAAATCAGACTATGCCATCAATGCCACATCTAGTAAAAAATCAAATTCGAACATCTGTTTTGCTTGGTTGACTGATCAAGTTTATTATGTCTACCCACATTTTTGTTGCTGTTTTGTTTTGTTATTTTATATCTGTGCGCTCTAATTTCTAATTTTTAATCTTAGTTTTAAAAATTGTTTCTCAGTAAGTGAATTATGTATGCGATTCTTATGAAAAATAAAGTTATTTTTAAACTTAAACCTAATCAAAGAAGTTTTTGGAGAAATATGTGAACGTCATAGCCATAATATACCTTTTTTTTAATTTTCAGCGATGAAAGCTGAGTTCGCTCGCAGGTAAAAATGGCGAGCGGCGTCGAATGATTGCACTAGTCTACCGAACTACACGAATGTTTTTTTGTAGAATTATTGTTACACTCGGTAAATATACTTAACGAAGGCCATTTTTTATATTTGATATCTTGATTTCGCGACATTTTGCTATTGATTTATTAAATGTTTTAAAGTGTAAGTTCGGGAATTGTGATGAAAAAAAACAACGTAATATAGAAGTTGCCTCTTTTTCTATTTGGATAAATGACACAAGGGAAGGGCACACGAAGCGATGCAAAGTTGTGTTTTTTTAATTTTATACTTAAAGTATTTATTCTAATGCGTACGCGTAGGTTAAGTTGTTTAATGTTGGACTTTTTAAAAAATGCCTACTTTTTGTAGCTTTTTCGTATTTAAAAAGTCCAAAATTTAACGTTATGTTAGTGGATACGTATATCATTCAAAAGTAAAGGGAATATTAAAATTTTGGTCGGGTTGACGGTCTTCCATACACTTTTAGATGCGGTTTAAAGCGGTTTTGAGTTCCCAGACATCACGTGATATAAATATTATGAGTCGTTATTGCAAATATTATATCCATACTTTAAAATCCAGTTTTGTTTGCGTAATTTTATTAATATTCGCCGTGTAGTGCAAATGATAGGCCAAAATAGTTAGTAAGTGCTTTTAATAGATAAAACCCGACCAGAAATTACTGACAACCCTATTTTTTTTTTCAAAGAAATACTGAAAAATGCATTAAAAAGTGGAGTAGTAAGTAATTTTTTTTAACAATAGGGTTGTCACACAAGTAATGACATATTGGAAGTACACTTAGCGGTAAATGTTTTAGCCCCATTAGAAATAGTGTTAAGGGAGCGTCTGTGCGAAGCTTTATTTGAAAAAAAAAAAAGATTTCCGAAATGATCTCACTGTTTGCAGTTCTTTTTAAAATTTCCTGGTGACATTTTTCAAATAGAGGTTTAGCACGGACGTGGTTTTCGACTGATAGATCATTCCAATGAGGGTAGGTCGGCGGCCTAACGGCTCGTACAAACTGAATGACACCATTTTTCTCCGTAATCACGAATCGTTTTCGGAATCCTTTATTGGGAATTTTTACACTTATTGGTGCTTTTTTGTCTGACGCAGTGGCATTGCATTTTTAATTAAAACCACCTTTTTCTTTGTAAATACTCGTTTCGCCTGAACATTTCGATTTTCTAATACTTTGTACATTTCGAAAACTTTTTTCCAGCACTATTGTCACTTGCGTCTGATCCGCGATCCTATTTGACTGAATATGCATTTATGATGTTTGATTCAGTTTTTTGTGTGAATGCACTTACTCTAAAAACCTACCTGATGTACGCAGATAAAATTTAAACTTTAAATTTCACATTTTTTTTACATCGATTTTTCTGTGTATGTCAGCTGCAAAATAGCACTAGCAACTATGATATTATAGACGGTGTTAAAGTAGTGATATCTATTAATATATTAATAAACTAACCAAATTTCTAGTTGGTTTTACTAACATATACAATTTTTGTATTGGTCTCAATTTATGTCAAAGATTGTATTTATTCGTAATGTTAATTAGTTCTTCGATGTGTCATTTGGTCACTACAGAACATAATCCGAAAATCAATGAATTGACAATTGACACAGCGAAGGACTAAATCTCTCGTGTAACATTATGTTACGCCATTTCGATGAATATATGCCTAATTAATTAATCGCTTGAGTTTTTAGTAATGTATGCGCACATCAAATTATTGGTATAAACGAAAATTAATAATCGACTATTAACGATGACTTTTGTATTGACTTTGTATAGTCTGTGACGTTGACAGTTAGATGTCAATGTTAAGTTGACATATGTGTTTTGGCGCGAAACCTCGCGGTTTACTAAGTATTAATTTGATAGTGTGACGTTTATTTGTACATTTTATAGGTTTTCAGTCTTTGTACTAATTTTCAAGTACAAATTTTGAAGGGATCCGCAGAATTTCCAAAATGCCTTAAAGTAGTATTTTTTCAATAATATATTGATTAATGCGATTTTAAACATGTATTATTTTATGAATACTGTTTAAGTGCGTTTTAGTTAGTGTTGTCCCGTTAGCTTAGGTTACCAAGTGATGTGCGATTACACCCGATTTTATCGATAATTTTGTAGTCACAATAGTGTAAATAGTTTTCAAATTATATTTTTTGTGATCCCATTTTGTTTTTTTCATTTTATACACCTATAAGTAAGTATTATCGAATCGAATAATGGACTTATTATAATCGTTAAAATAAGCGAAAGATATGAATGAATGTAAACGCCTAGGCTTCACACACTGCCATGTTTTTTTTAATTCAGTGGTTTATACAATAGATGGCGTTTACTGGAGTATTAGCTTGTTGTATGTGTACATATGCTGGAGTCAATAAAGTGGTGAACTTATAATGACGTTTTATTTGATAGCCCTTTGATCAAATGTCAGAAATCTACTAGAATACGGTACAGTTGTACAGAGGTCGTATTATGCAACGCATATGTCGGGATCGAGCAGTTACAACAAAGATTAATGTGGCATCTCGAAAAAAGTTCAAAACGTCATTGGAGAACCGCAGTAAATACTACTGGTCTAAGATCCCGCTATACAACGACCTTCACCGAGATGCTTATTTAATGAAACTTATTTTATATATAATTTAATATGTCGATAAATATAATCCATATGGGTTGCCTAGCAAATTTCAGTCCAGAATATTTTTAATTAATTTAAAAAAAAATATTTTTTTAAACATTTCACCGGTATGATTATTAGATAAATTCTATACCAATCGAAAGTATGAAGCCCATAGAATATGCAAAAGGATATACTCTGGACTGAAATTTGCTAGGCAACCCATATGGATTATATTTATTGACATATTAAATTAAATATAAAATAAGTTTCATTAAATAAGCATCTCGGTGAAGGTCGTTGTATAGCGGGATCTTATACTATACTAATATATCGAATGACTTTATAACATTGAATGTTGTAAATCTGGTGAATTGTCTCAACCTTTTAAGTATATTTAAATTGTGTACCTCTAGATGATGCCCTAGGCATCCAATTTGTTCATCTGTCTACGATACAAATGCGGCATGTACCCCGAACTATGGCCCAAGTAAAGAACCGTTTAAAATATCGAATACTGGATCGAAGGTTTTCATTTCGATTTTTGTACCAATTTCTAGTAACGGAACCCATATTGAAAGATACAAGACAGTGTATAAAATCTACTACGTGTAACGTTTTAGACACTTCATCATTAAAAATACTTTGATTGATGCCGATTAAAAAACAAGATTTCCTAAAAATCTAGATAAAATTCACAAAAAAAATATTTTGCAATTTAGTTGCAGTTGTTATTTGAGTCAAAATATCTTAAAATTTAGAAAATTCTAATATTTAAAAATTATAAATCGGAATTTCAAAACCCATTTGACAGAATGTTGGCTCGACATTCTCGGGTGAATTTTTACTTTCATCCCCATTGCTTTTTTTAAACATATGTACCAATAATCCATGGCTACTCTACACTTAAAGTGCCGAACTACCCAGGGTTAATTATTTTTTTGAGGATGGACTAATAAAAAAAAAACTTTAAAAAGGCATTCTTTTAATAAAGAAGAAATAAAATTACAGAAACACAATTCCAACATTTATAAACAATATTATTTTTAACCATAAATAAATATGCAACAATCTTAATATAAAGTTTATTATTTTATTATTATAATTTATAAAAGTACATTGTCATGAATATTTATGACTGGTAACATTGTAAAATATTTCAAATGTATTGTCTAGCTTGATTAAAAGTAAAAAGATATTCTCGCCAATAGCGTGTTTAATCACATACAATATTAATATATATTCGAGAGGAATAAAGTTAGAAAATACAGGATTATCTTGAATTAAAGCATTTAGTATTTCATTGTTAAATCTGAACACCAACTATTTTAATTTATTTAATACGATTCAAAATAATCCTATAAGTTATTGCACATTTCAGAAATTTGTGCACAGAATATCAAAGAATTTGTGCGAATACAAAATTTTAATGTTTAAAATAATTCAGCTGGTAACTCCGGTGACCGAGGTAGCCATTTTGAAATTTTTGTCTGTGGTAACGTGGTTTAAGGTGGGCTCTAGCGACGCTAAACTACTCTATATAGCCAATATAGTTTTAGCAAGCAGAGGAAATATACAACACACTTGTGTTTGGGTAATTAAAATTTCAAACTACCTTTAAGCTTAATCTATAACTTATTCTATGAGTTGCTATAATTCATAGATAAATATGTATAAAAAGCCTACATATTGTACTTATAATTGTGTAAGTACATAATTTAGTATAACAGGACAACAATTGTGCGTAAGCTTTCGTTTATTACAAAGATCACAACATCCTTATGTTCTTATCCGCATATGGCGATGAGATATAAGCCCTGTAAGAGAAAAACATAATTATAAAAATGGTTTATTTATTTTTACACCTAAAGTCGACGCATTATGAACTGAGTGACAGTGTCAGTGACATTTACTGTCAGTGACATAAGACATTTATTGCCCGACAACTCAGTTTAAAATGCGTCGACTATAGTAAAGAATAATTGCTTGACTTTTTTCTAAAGGGAAAACTTCGTGGTGATACATATAAGCTATGACCAAAGACAACTTTTAGAATAAAATTGTCTTCAATGTCAAAAAACAAGCACAAAAAAATTGAGTTAAAAATACAATTTCTTAAGCGGATTACAAAAAAACTGATTTTAAAATATTAAAACCATGCCGGGTAATAAACGTGCATATTGTGTGCAAATTGTGTTAAACCAAAAATGCTGCATTCATTACACAATAGCAGACAAACTAACACTACATTAATTTTAACCTGATTTTTTTGTATTTTTTAAATTTTCTTGCAGTCTTCACATAGCTTGACTATTCATTTAGCACTGGGAGCATGGATCTAAAAAAGATATTTGTATATAAACCATACATTAAAGATGTCTTCAATATGTTGATGTTTTAATTAATTTATCGAAAAAAATAACGCCAACGAGTAAAAAATATTGTAGAAGTGCATTTGTTTCGAATTCTGTGCTATTCTGTTTTAGTCCAAAGTTTCGGTGAAAACAAAGATCATATTATGTGAAACACCGCCATCTCGGGAAAAACTTTTGTATATTTTCGCTTAAAGTATATCAAATAAATCAAGCAAATTTAATAAAGAATCTGAAGTTTTCGTGACAGGTTAGGTTAAGTCAAGGATAAATTTAAGAGCGAACTAACAATTCTTCCTCCTACTTACATTGGATAATAACCATAAGCACAGATTATAAACATCAGATGACAGTTCGTTCGCGCTTAAACTTATCACTGAAACTTACAGGATACAGATAATAAATTTGACTCTGGCTTAGGGCACTTTGACACAATATATTATTCGCAGTCCGGAGAACTTTGATAACAAAATACAGCATTTTTTGGCGTTATTTTTTTATAGCATATAAAATGATCGACATTTGAAAAGCATTTCTACAATCATTAGTTAATAATAACAAAACAACACGTGACTCAGCTAAAAAACGCGTATTATAAAGATTTACATAATACCTTCCATTTCCAAAACTATAGGAATGGGACCTTTGCAGCGTAGAAATAAAGAGAATATATAAGCATTATGCCAAATTAAGAAGGATACTATAACTCAAATGTTAATAAATTATAATATCATATTTATATAAAATAGCTTTTAAATATACCAGCCTAGAAAATACAGCTATGTCATAGCGGCTTAAAAGCGTAATGAAATCTTTAATGTCGTATTTATTTCAAACGGTGCCCAGAGTACGGGCGCTCTAAATTATGAAACAAATAAGGAAATTAATTATGCTAAATCCAAGATCGCCAACTTTGTAATAGTCTTTGATTTTTATATTAATTGGAAACAGACGACGCCATTATAAAATGTATGTCATGACGAAATATAAATTAGGAGGTTAAAAACGCCATCTATTATTATATAAAAAAAGTTTTATTTTGAAAAATTATGTTAACATGTCGAGGAACCACAGGCACCAAACTTTTTAAATCTGTTTTAGTTTTCTGTTTAATTAGTATTACTTTAAATCTAATCTGTAAATAAACAATACATAAAGTTATTACAATAGCTTTTTAAACAAAGTTTTCATAATACGTTCAATATTTCAGACATACCTGAAAGTTCAATTCTTCCATTTTTACACAAAGATTTCATTAAAACAATAAATAGAAAGCCTATCTACTATGTCTGAATGTCTGTAAATGATTTCTTGACTTACCAATAAGTAAGTGTATGTATGTTCGTGTATGGGTATGAGACTAAAACTACAGTAGCATTGGTTACCAGTTAAGACAGTCTTGGGAAGACTGGCTGTCAGCGGATGGCGAGAACAGTTAAATTTTATTAGTATATATGAATAATTTATTGGAGTCAATTGCATATGTATATGTATTTATATATGACTTTACCAAATACCAATAAAACTCAAGCCTATTTACCTATTTTGATGCTAAAGAAAAATCGTACAATAAAAATAGTAACGAATTTTTTTTATGACCGCTATATAACGTTGTATCGCTTTCGAAGGTATATAATTAAATTCAAAGAAAAAAAGTTGTTTTCTATATTAGCCTATGAGCTTTTCAGCCTAACAATTTTTTACAATGATTATAATATATAATTATGTAAAAATGGTTTCCGAAAATACTCACAGCTCCATATTGGGAACGGTGGAGTGTGGGCAGGCGGAGTTGACCTTGACGTGGCAGTGTTTGTGGCATTTGAAGGAGCAGTCCCGGCACTCGTAGCCCTGTTTGCCGAGTCTCCGCGCTACCGTCTTATTGCACACTTCGCACACCGTTCCACTGAATCAAACCATTTTAGTACATTATCATATCAAATAGATTTGTATGCACTTAATCTCTTCATTTGTATTAAGTGATAAATAGTGTGTGCAAAAATAGTGTAAATATCCTTTTTAGTAAATTAGATTGGTTTTAAATTACTTATGAGTCTTAAGTTAGGCTTGATCGTAATGTTCTATGACGTTGTAAAGACACGTGTATATAAAAAAAAAACTTAATCTGATAGAAAAACAAAGAAAAAAACTCGAGTCTACGGGACGCCTAAAAAGGCAGTCGTCGAAGCCCATTTTATTGAGTGCGTTGCCGGCCTTTGATCAGTATGCTCTTTTGTTAATTTTATTTTATTTGATAAACACGCTCGCAAATATTATAACTTTTGAGTTTTTGATAAGGAATCGTTTTTTTCGTGTACCGATTTCAATAAATTTGGTTACCTCTAGTTTAAATAAATTTATAACAATTTTTTATACTTTGAGATCATTTACTTAATAGATAGATTATTACGATAGATCACTTAATAGACTATAATCACAGGTGTGTTGCCAGCTTTTATAAAAGTGAAAGAGACGTCGCTACCAGGGTCGCAGAGGTTTCAAGAGATGAACTCACCCACTGATGTGCTTAGCGATGAACGTGTGCTCATTATAAATATGCAGTTTAACCCCTTTCCGCCGCCATCTCGACCTCTGCGCGACGGTCAGCGGCACCAGGTAGTGCTTCTTTATCCCGGCTTCGATGGTTTCCAAGACCAGGGTTGACGCTTCGTGGATGAAGGTGCGAGCCGATGCGGTACTAAATCCGGACACTTCGCTGAGAGAGGACCTTTTTTGTGAATTTTTGAGTAACGGGAGTTTTAGGGGTTTTTTGGGAAGGGTTGGTATATAGGAATTCATATTTAGGGGAATGTCAGAGTTTCAGACAAATTAAAAAAAAATAATGGTGTCAGATTTAGGGTGATATAGGAGACAATGAAAACAGTTTTAAATAAAACAAATGAAAACAAAAAGTTGGAAAATGTAGAGAATGGAATCCAAGACCACATGTAAAAGTGAATTAACAATTATTTAAAATTTTGAAAAACAATATTTAATTGCCAATCGAGTACGTAAGCGTTTTATTAAAAGCATGCAGGAAGAAATTAGTTTTAAAATACCAATGTTACCATGTCGAAGTGCGATTGGCCCCAGCGTGAATGTTGAGATGGAAAGAGAGAAAATACATATTTAGTGTTACCATATATAAAATACAAAGGCTGAACTTTTTAGATAGGCAAAGGCAAGACGGCGTTATTTAATTAATTTTAAATACTGTAATATTATTGAGTCTTGCCATGCGAAAATATGTAATAATTGTTTTGTTAACATATATTGTTCTGGCAAGACAATTTTTTTTATTTCAATATAATATTAGATCTTGCCATGCGTTAAAACATTACATTTTAAATGTTAACTATAATTAAAACTTGTTTTAAAAAACGTATTTGAATCAAAATTTATTTTTTAAATATGCAGATTAGGCCGTAAGCGTAATGGTTAGTGTCTCACCTTCTTGATGTCCTAGATTCGTCGCCGGACTGTGCGGGGGATGCTCCCGCTGAGTATACGTTTCTACTAGGCACGAGGGATTTATCTGCAAATTTTAAGATTCCCTTATTTTTTGAAGTGAAACTTCTTTAGGCGCATGAGGGTAAATTTTTACGGAAACGTCACAAAGATGTGCAGCGTTTTTGTCAAAGAAAAGGGAGGAAGCGATTGAGACCAAATGAGAGAGAGTAAGAAGGGCGAATTACCTTATAGAAATTCTATTATTAAAATTTCGTAAAGAGAATTTATGAAATATTAGTATTTTATATTTTATGCAAAATAACTTATCGAAATCCTCAACGAATTGTAAATTAAAATGTCACGTGTTTTTATTATCGACCAAATAAATTAAAAAAAAATTATAATTTTATTAATTTTCGACACTTCACTTTCTTAATTAAATTCATAACATACATATCTTCTTTTTCCCTCCCTCTAAGTCTCGGAAATCTAAATTTTAGATTTGTATCAATATAAACAAGACAACAATTAGTTTGCCAAAGAAGTTTCACTTCTGACATGTGTACATCGTACGCACGCACTTTTTTTTTATAGAATCCTCTATCAAACGTGCCTACGGAATGCCCAAAAAGGGCATGCAGACCCATTTTAGTGGGTACGTTGCCGGCCGTTATTATTATATAATTTAAGTTTTTGGATATGAATACTTTAATATAATAAATAAAATCTCTGCAGAAACAAAAGTTTTCAGTCTCCAACTTCAAATCTTAGACTGAAAAGCAGTGAGGACATTTTTCAATGTATGTTTTTGGTATATAGACAATACCAAAACATAGTATAGCACGCCTATATCAATTAAACATTTGCAATTAAATAGATCTCACCAGTACTATTTCGTTCAGCACTGATGCTGCGCAGATGCTGACCATCTACTTCCGAGTCCTGAAGGTCAGCTGATGCTCCGCGAGTGCGGGATCTGCCCAGTCTGGAAAAGATTTAATTCATTGATAAGTTCGTAGGCACAAGTCAGAGGACAGCATCAGAGTCAGAGCAGAGTCATCCCAGCTGGCAATATTTAAATATTATAATGGAACAGTCCTACCTTCTCTTAATGGTGCCAAAGAAGTCTCGTTTGCGTTTCTGTCGAGGGGCAGGCTCTGGAGGAGGAGGTTCTTGGTTGTTCACGTAGTCTCCTTGCTGGAATCGTTTTTATATGATTTTTTAATGTTACATTACGACTTCTAGTAATTCTGTGTCAATTGTTTTATTATGCTTAAAAAAAACATGTTACGGCATTTTATGTTAGAGTCTGTGGGAAAATAAAACAGTCCAGACGTCGCTGCAATGTTATCTTTTTTGTTATGTTGACAACACTGTTACGTCATTATAGTTGGACTTGCTTGATTCATGAAAAAAAGAAGAATGAGCAAATAAGAATAATCGCCATGACAGTTCTCTTTCCGCACGGACTCTTCTAAAATACTTATAATTACAAAGACAATACAACATTCTCAAATGCAAGTTAGTGTTGCCATTTACCAAATCCTTTCCATTGGGTTTCGCGCCATTTTCCTTGATCCTCACACTTTTGGCGGGAGACTGACTCGGGCTGGGCGTCACAGAGTGGCTTTCGTTTTTGTCATTCACCTTCTCCGGTATGTCAATATTTTTTTGTGTATTTTCTAGGGTCAATTGCGTGTCGGGACTCTCTTTGAGGCTCGCTTCGCGTTCTACTTCGATGAATTTCCCGGAATCAGTTAGTTCCACCTTTGTACAAGGAATTGTTAGTGCAACACACATTGGAAAAGTCTGTGATTTAATTTTTGGTCTGTAGATTGAGAAGTGATTTTAAATCTGCGACGAGAACGTTGGTGACGTTCGAAATCACAGAATTTCCAAAACAAAAACAGGGCATCTAACATGCTTGGAGTCTACTTTATTTACAGTTAAATGCAGTTATTTATTCAAACAGTTTTCGTGCAGTTTAACGAGAAACATTAAATACATATCGACAGACAGCTTGACTTTTTGACATAAAAATAGTTGATGCAAAAATCAAAATGCAAGAATGATAAAAAAAATAACTGACCTTTATAGATTTCGTCGGCTCCTGATCAAAGACATGCAAAAAAATTACAAATCACACAAAAGAAAAACATATTTAGCAAATAAACGTACTTTACACCTTTACCTAACCCAAAGAAATACGTACGTATACGTCACCATACGTATACGTGCATATGTATGGACGTAAAAAAGAGACAAAACATGACACACTAAAAATGAGAATGACAAAATTAAAATATTACATACCCGTTGCACAGAATGTATTATTAAAGTTGATTTGTTTGCGTTTGATGGACTCAGCTCGAGTTCACGAAGAGCTGTCTCTGTTAGGGCGGAGTTTTCGTGGCCTGGTGGAAAATACAACAAAAATAGATATTATGGAACTTTTTTTACTTTATTTTGGAACACACAACAGCGAATTGTATCTTATTTTAGCCATACAATGCGCAGAGGTGACGAGAACTTGGAGAAAGTGATCGTTGTTGATAACACAGAAGGCAAAATATCACGTGGCCGTTCGTTCTTACTGATCACGACGCTCATATGAGCTGCCAATTGAAAAGAGAGAGACATGAAATTAAAGAAATAGAAGTATACCATTTTGTTTGAATGTGGTTTTGGTGGTGGTGGTCATCAGTCCGTGAGGTGAGACGGTGCGAAGGCTTTCCTTGATTTTCAAAGGCTTCGAACCCAGGTCAGGGATGTCAGCGCCCTCTATGAATAGGAACTGGAAATACAATTAAGACTTTAGATGAATTACATTTACAATGAATCTCCCCCGGACATGTTAAAAAAGTGAGTAACATAATTTGAAAATAATTTTAAAGGGCACGCTTTTATAAGTACTTCCTTCCATAAACACCAAATATAGTCAATGATATTTTATATATATATATATATATAAAATATCATTGACTATATTTGGTGTTTATGGAAGGAAGTATATACAACCGTTCTATGTAAACGTTGATCTAGTAAGATATTAAAAGAAATGTTGATCCACCTTCTTGCAGTGTATAATTGGCTCTTTACAAATATAACTGATATACTTTGATCCGAATTAGAAATGGAAGGCTTGTTTGGGGATCTGCATCGGTCGCTTTGCAACATACTTGCCATCAAAAAATACATTAACATAATGTTTTTGTAGATCCGTAACGGTCGCAAATATTATACCGACGAGTCAAATGTGCATCCGTTTTATATGCGAAATCTTACTAACTAACGTTGATCCGAGGGCTTTTGACCTTGAACCCGTCGACGCCCGCGCGGTGGGGCCGGTAACGGTCATTTTCGTGCAAACGCGCAGATGAAATCGAAGTTCTTCAGTATAAAGCTATCAATGATACAGACCCTAAAATACGAAAGCTAAAACGACAAAAAATTACAGATAAATTGAGAAACAAGGGAAATTTTTTACACAATTCTAAAGTGAGCTTTGATCGGGACGCTCATTTAACCTTATTACCATCAAAACGAAGCAACCAGGGTACCTCTAGTCCGTCAACTTACGCTACTTGTAAAACATGCTTGGGCACATTTAAAAGATCTTCATTTTTCAGACATTTAAGAAATTGTAAAGCTTCTGAACATGTTCTTCCGTCACTTAAAAGAAAAGCATTGTTTAATCACAGCTTAACAATCGTTCCCAATACGGCGAACGCTTCGATTGAGCTAAAAGAAAAAATACTGTCGCATCTTCGTTCTGATGATTAGTAGTTAAAAATGATCCAGTAATCATAGCATACGGTGCTCGTCTCTTGAAGAAGAAAAAAGAACGACGAAGTCGTAAAGCTTTTAATTTTATTGCGGAAAAAAGACACAACTATTGAAAATCTCACTGACGCAATTGATCCTGAAAAATATGAAACATTTGTAAGTGCCATAAAAGAAATGTGTGGCTTTAATGAACAAACAGGCATGGTCAAAAATAAGCATACCCTCACGTATGCGTCCCGCTGTCTTGGGATGTGTTGAAATACTATACACATAATCTATTATGCAAAACGAATCCACAGCCTATAAGGAAGCATATAAAAAAAAACTAAATGACTTTAAATATTTAATTGAAATCAATTGGGAGTGGGAGATTTCGTCGAACGCTGAGAAAAGTAGAAAACGAAATCACTTAACGAAAGAAAAAGTCATGCCGTTGGACAGTGACATTAATAACGTTATGCAAAAAATCCATAAATTAGAAATTAAATATGCGAGCTGATTGAGAAAAGATAGATGTGTTTTAAATTATGAATTATTGTGCATAGTAACAATAGCTCACATTATAATGTTGGACCAAAAACGTTCAGGTGACGTAGCTGAAGCTGAACTTACGTTTTACATCAATAGAAAGAATGAAGAAGTGCCCGAAAAGGTTTTGGAAAGTTTAACAGTAGAGCAGAGGAAGTGTATTAAAGAATTAGACGTATTTCAGATTCCCGGTAAAAGAACAAGGGGTGTGCCTATTTTGCTAACAAAAATAATGCGAGAAAACATAGATTTAATAATAGCTTGCCGTGAAAATTTAAAAATTCCAAGCTCCAACCAATATTTATTTCCAAGACCTGGTACACAAGAACCTTTTGAGGGCGGTAAATGTTTAGATATGATAAAAAAACAGTGTAATGAGATGATTACATCAACCGGAATGAGACATCATATTGCTACAATGTCCCAAATTCATTCAAAACAAAATGATCATTGTACTGAGCAATTGGCAGAATTTCTAGGGCATAATATATCAGTTCATGCACAAAATTATAGATTGCCTATGCAGGTACTCCAAAAAGCTGTTGTAGGATCTCAACTCTTAGAATATGAAAATACATTAATGGAGAAGAAGAGTAACATAATAGAAACGATTAGGTCTCAATCATACCAAGAAACTAAAAACTTTGAGGAAGAGACGCCATCTTCAAAAAATTCGGCTATAGAAAGCGACCAATCTAACATCTTACTTACAAACCCCAAAATATCTATCGAAACACCAGAAACTACAGTCAATAAGAACATGGACGATATAGAAATTGGAGACTATAATGAAGTAAACGATAAAAAACAAGACAATCATTACAACCAAGATCCTAAAAATAAAGACCCCAAAATTAAGCCAAACAGAAGCAACACGAAAAGAAAATGGTCAAGTAGTACAAGTGAAAGCGATGTTGATGATGATAAACAGATTCAGAAACGAAGTAAAACTAGAGGAGCCAAAGAAAATAATATATATCATAAAGATTCTAAAAAAAAAATATCAATATTAAACCAAATAACAGAAAGACAAAAATAAAATGACCAAGTTTAAGCGATAGTGATAATCCAATTCCGAAACGAAAAAAAAACAGTCATAGAAAGTGGTCGGATGAAGAGATACAATTAGTCAAAAAATATTTCCAATCATACATAAATAAAAAGATAAATCCAGGCAAAAACAAATGTATGGAAGTTTTAAATAAAGAACCTATTCTTCAAAATAGGACTTGGATGCAACTTAACACGTATGTTAACAATATTTATAAAAAAAAGTAAATATATTTTAATGAAGATTCTGTGTGATACAACAAGTTCCTCATAATATTAATAGTAATTATTATAATATATAATTAATATATTATGTATAATAATAGATCTCATAACAAGGGCACATGTAATGTCTCCTTAATGTTAGTGGTTTAGTGATAGTACCTGACTATATACTATTGAATGGGTAGTAAGAATATTTGGTATGTGATTTTTTTCTACCTGTTAATAATTATAATCTTTGACTGACTGATTATAAATATTTTGAAGATGTTTTTTAAGTTATATTATTCATAAAAATATTGAGAACATATTTTTTCTTATTATCTGGCTAATTATAATGTTTGTTATAAATGTTAGAATTGTCGATTAAGTACCTATAAACGAAATGTTACTTATGTTGTTTTATTTTCAAAATTATTTTGTAAATGTTAGTAATGTCTAACGTATTAAAGATGTTATATAATAAAAAAAATATGATTGATAACAAATGTTTTTTTCTAAATGTCATCCAAACTCAACTTTGATATGATGCGATAAGATCATTTTTTGCCTTTCTAAATTATCACTTTAATTAATATATGTAACCATGCCACTTAAACATTATAATAACAATTAGAAATTGTCCTAAAGTATATAAGACTATATCGAGTATTGGTAGGACTCTTGCGAAGGCCAGTCTGAGGAAAGGCCAGACCTTTGTCAGTTAATCAACGGCCAAGCGGTAGCTAAACAACGCTACGGTGTCCCGGGATGAAGGGCATTATTTGCGGAGTAATAACAGGGCTTCGAGACTCTAGATCTTATATCTCAGGGTTACTGAGTGCAATACAATATCACATACTCTGTATGACATTGAGCTGCTGGCATGCATGCAGCTGGCCACGAAGCTTAACATCGGGTAAGCGACAAGCGCGTGTCGTCAACAAATTTCCTTACCATATATATATATATCATACCTATAAACATAAAAACTGACTAAATAAAGAAAAGTTACTGATTAGGTGGTCTTGCAATAAATTATAGGAATTAAACCATCCATATACCTTAGGTATGTCCAGTAGGAGGACTTGCTGACTTCTGATTGGCCCATTTGAATCGGATCAACAACTATCGGAGTGGATTTGTATATTGGATCAACATTTCGGTTGCGTTTCCTAAACTTCAACGGAGTAAATCGTTGATCCGGTCAGAACCACATTTGTATGAAAAATATTATATTGGATCAACAAAAACCACCCGGATCAACAAAGTGCTCGCGATATAGCACGCATGTTCAACAATTGACGGATTGATAGCTATAATAATCACAGAAGCAACTTGTAAATTTGTTTCAAGTAAATATTCCAGTTCTGTCACCTCAACAGTAAGGCTTCCGCTGACGTCATGTTCCTCCATAGGCCTGGTCTGTAGAGCTATCTGTTGTCTTTGGGACGGCGCGGCCAGGAGTTCGTCTATGCCCACAAGACCCAGACCTAGAAACCTAAAAACATAATCTAATATACATTTTTATCTAATAAATTCTATTCAACATCATTATAAGTAATCTAGAAACATTTATGTACAAAGTTAAAGGAATTAAAGTTCAGATTTAATAAATATTTTATTATTTTAGACGCGTTAAAAAGAACACGAAATAATGGTTACTTATAAACGATCTTTTTTTAATTCAAAATAAACGATTTTTCCGATTTCAATTTCCAGGTCAATTGTCAAGACGTATTTCGTATGCAATACTTGAGAATCGACCATTATAAAGACACATCACTCACCGATTCTGCGAAGCCCCTCCGCCGGGAGAAGGCAGTCCGCTCCTGTCGTACACTTCGAACAGCAGTTCCGCCGTCTGCGCAGATAGATCGCTGAAAACGAACAGATCAGATTTTAATGTAAATAAAACATCTTGGAAACTAAATTTTGATATATTTTGTAAGATTAAAAATACTTATCATACTGCCATTTACTTGGACGCTCACAGTAGCATTATATTATTGGTAAGCTCTTTTCTTAAAAACCCTAAGTCAAATTGTTTCGAAATTAATTCAGCGGGTTGCTGGTCCCACATAGTGGTGGTGCGCGGCAAAAACCGTCTTGAAAAACGCTCAGTTGTGGAACGACGGACGACGAGGTGATACGGGCAGATTTCAGTATTTATTGTAACAGAGCATTATTAATAGTTTTTTTTTATGGCTCTGGCACGATTTGTGCATTAGCCAGCGTCAAGTTTAGCATTTTTTATAGTTCGTGCTTGTCTTTAGAAATTCGACCGTGCCCTCCATGTACGGTTTAAGCACTCGCCCGGTACCGCACAACCATCCCAAAGGCCGAGAACAAATTTAAATTAAATTAAAACTTGCCCTCGAACTGGGAATCGAACCCGGTACCCCTCACCTAGCTGCCACTTAATAAGACCGCTAGGCTATGAGGCCCCATTATTAATAGTTAATATACTTCTTAGTAAATTGGCTTAGACTTAAAATACTTATTAGTCTTAAGTTAGGCTAGATAATGTTCCATAATGTCTTAGTGAAAAGACACGCCGAAAAAACATTCGATGACAGGCATTTAGTTTTGTATATGTTGACTTACAATAGAAAATGTTCCTCCCACTGGGGGCTGGTGGTATCCTTCTTGAAAGCAGTCTGGTTCCTCTGAGGAGGCTCGTCCATCTCCACCACGCAGTATGGCGCTATGCACCCGGTTTTGCCTGGAATTTTAATACCTAATGAGTTTCACGACTTTTACTTACAAAAATCGCCTTTACAACCTACGAACCTAACCTACTTAAATCAAACGATGGTTTATCGTAAAACAATTATATCCGTTACGTTGGTTTCAATTAAATGCCTTTTAAATTATTCTCGAATATATGTGGCTTATGTTCCGATAAAATTTTTAATAAAAAACATAACTTGTAAAAATAAAAACAAGTCTTTAGATACTTCAAGGCATATTGTTATTAATAGTCCGGTCGATATAGACATCTGAACTAACAAAAATTCTCGGAAAGCCAAAAATTGGTGGACAGCTGGGGTTTACCATTACAAATAAAGTTTTAAAAATCCCCATCGATTCTATGTGTGTGCAACAAAAGTTATTCGGGGGTCATTATAATATCGCGATGCTAATATGTCATAATAATGTTATTTCTACTATGTTTTTGATAAATACAGTAGAACCTCGATAACTTAAACCTCGGTAACATAAAAACCTCTGTTACTTCAAAAAATACTATGTTCCCTTCCCATCAGAGCCCAAAACCTCTATAACTTAAAATACGCAACCTCTATAACTTAAATAAATAATCTCTGTATAGGCCCTCAGTAACTAAAAGAAATGTTTCCACAACCTAGTTATATAATCCCGTGTGTCACCACCATAGGATAATTATATTTTATATAAACAAAAAACCATTGCAACATAGTAGTACAAAGATCCTTTATATTTCAATAGCCGAAATGCTGTTACATGATTTACGAACCACACTTACATGATTTACGAACCACACTTACATGATTTACGAACCACTCTTAGTTCTTACTAAGTAACGTTTCCTTGTAGAGCGTGAGAACAATGTGTCAGCACAACGGTCACGTAGGCCTTTAAGAATAGGATATAAATATAATAGAATACTTGTAATATTTAGTATTAAACGGACCTCAAATCGGACCGGTTGTACTCATTTTAACTTTAAGTTTTTAAAAACCCTTTTTCGCGGACCCACTACTTGACTGGCGCTGAGGACAGGATAGTCGCTCTAGCTGCACGTACTTCTCAATTATCGGTTCGAGCATCAAATTCTGCTTACCTAAAAAGGGGAAACTACGTCGCGATTGCTAAAAACGGCTATTCAAAAGAACAAATAAATTTGTCAAGAACGCAAATCCAAAAGCGTTAAGGGTATTTTGTGCGAGTGTTGAGGCAGCGATGTACTGGTAAGTCACCTTTTCACCTTTCAAATCCAGCCCTCTCCACTTTTCTTTTGTTATTTTGAGATCGACATCTCTCATCTTAACGATAGTTTTAAGACTTTGTTAGAGTTAAATTGATATAAACGTAAATTGTAATAAGTTAATTTAAAGAAACATAGAAGTAAGTAGGTTAGTGCATGAAATTCTGCAACCCCTAAAGTAAGTATAAGTTTAGATTCACATCAAATTCTGTGAGCTAAAATTATTGAGTAATTGTGTAATTATTTAATCAAATAATTCCTGAAAGAATACATAAAACCCAAAAAGATATATTTTATATATTTCGGAAATACGGAACATCGCAAACAATTCAGCAACATGGTAATTAGGCTTTTTAAAGGTGGATCAATTCAATTTTATGAGTGTACGGAAAGAATAGTTTTTATTGACGATGAAAATGAACAGAAAGCCGTTATTCTGAAATTTCATCTCGGAAAAACCTGTCACAGAGGTATTCAAGAAACTTTTACTCGCATCAGGCGACACTTCTTTTGGAATAACATGAAAGAAACTATATCAGCAGTAATTAATTCTTGTGAAGTCTGTAAACATATGAAATATGACCGAAAGCCTTTGAAACCATATTTACAGTTAACTCAAAAGCAACATGCCCCATTCCAGGAATTATTTATAGATATATTTAGTATCGAAGGAAAAACATACCTCACCTTAGTTTACGCTTTTAGCAAACTAAGACAGGCAATTGAAATTACTATCAAAGGCACACCTGACGTTATCCGCGCACTAATAAAATACTTTTCATTTTACGGCATACCTAAGAAAATAAGCTGCGACTCTGGTACTGAATTCAACAACGATCTATTGAAAGAAATGATGTCACTCTATAAAATCCAAATACATATCGACACACCTAGGAACCCTAATTCAATGGGAATAGTTAAACGTTTTCATTCCACCTTAATTGAAATTTACAGACTGACAAAATACGAACAACAATGTACCGACGCCGCATCTATTATATCACTCATCATGGCATATAATAATGCGATTCATACTGTAACAACTTTAACACCGTTTGAAGTAGTGTTTGGCCATGTAGATTCTGAAAACGCATTCAATATAGACTTCGAGAAACGATACTTGCAAAAATTAATTAAAGATCACGCCAAAAGAATAAAAGTTTTATACAAAATCATATCTGATAAAATGTTAACGTTTAAGGAAAACTCTAGAGAAAAACGCGGTGGCGAATCCGACGTCCCGTTACCAGAAGGGAAAACAATTTTCACAAAATTAATAAACACTCGTAGAAGTAAGTACAAACCTTGTTTTGAAAAGGCCATAGTTACAGGAAAACCTGAAAGAAACACCATCCCTATTAAAATTAGAGGTAAACACAAAAAGGTACCAATTAAAAACATAAAACGACCTCCAAAGGTGGTGCTTAGTGATCACGATGACACTCACGAGCCCCAGCTTGGGCCTTCAACTTCAAAAGGTTGAAAACAATTCAGGGATCCGTAAGACAGGGAACATCCTTCATCAAACAGGATAACTGGCTTATTTTTAAGGTATTAGATTTGAATGGCCTACTAATGGAATTAGAATATAACAATAGGAAATATAGTAATTTTAGTAAGATAGTAAGTGATGATAAGCCTTAGTTTAAAGAATTTTTAGGAATTAGGGAACAAGTAGAGTATGTATTTGCAAAGAATAACTACTGAAAAGATTAGGCAAATAATCCCTTCACACCGAGTACGAAGAGGAATATTGAACCCTCTAGGCTCTATTATTAAAATGATAACTGGAAACTTAGATCAGGAAGATGCTCAACGATATGAACAGTTAATAAATCAATTAGGTAATCAACAAAATTTCCACAAACAAGCGTTTAACAGTTGTTTTCAAAATGTTAGATGGACTCATTAATTCATCAGAAATATTACACAATAACTCAAAAATTATGGACGAAAGACTAAAACGTGTAAAAAAAAAATGTTAAAAGACATAAGTACTAAAGAAAATAATGCAGTATACTCTACATATGTTTTAAGTTTATATAATCTTTTTGTAAGTAATTTTAGAACGCTTTATATAAAAATTAAGCGAATTAGAAATTGCTTTGGCTTTCACCAAAACCAATGTTTTACACATTTATTACAGATTTTAATTTATATATCACAGTCAGAAAATCTTATGTATCCACCCACTTGGGATAATTTAGTTAAATTAGAAGATACGATTAATGTTAAATCATACATGATAGACAGGAAAATAACTTTTGTATTAGAGGTAGCTTTAATAACCAATTCAACTTATAGTAATAAAATGTATCCCTTACCTATTACCCTAAAAACCTAACCTTAATAATCATTCCTAAATATCCCTATATCCTGGTGAAAGGTGTAACATACTTATCGCTTATACAGCCTTGCAAACAAGTCTCTGAGGAAAATTATCTCTGCACACAAGAAAACAGGGGCACCGTATCCTGAAACGACATGCATTGAGGAGCTGATGACCTTCAAGGAAAACCCATCCAACTGTGACCAGAATACAGTAATTATAGAAGAGGTAAAGGTACAATAATAGTAATCAAATCATTATTCAAAATAATTGCAAAAATGAGATAAGCCGAAACTCTATAAAGGGAACATAATATATCATTACTATAGATTAACCCTGCGATCTCAACATCAATGACATCCAATTACATCATCAGCGTTCATATACAGAAAATATGTCATCAGAAAGTATCCCATCCATTAAGCTGCTGGAGTTACAGTCAACAGTGAACTCTAAGGAAAATCAGAATCCAGTAAACTTACAAGGAATGGAGCTCAGTGACCGGCAACACGTCTTACATGCTGTAACAACTTAACAGAGATAGTGATAGTGAAATGGGCAATTCAGTGAAAGTGAAAAGCATTAGTTTAGGCACTCTTTTATTGTATTTTGCTAATTGTTGTGTTTTTTATAAAAAATAAGATTATTAATATGTTGCAGTGGCGAAATAATCAGAATTTGCATGTGCAATCCCCTGATAATTTCGCTCTTAAGGAGGGAGGAGTTATATAATCCCGTGTGTCACCACCATAGGATAATTATATTTTATATAAACAAAAAACCATTGCAACATAGTAGTACAAAGATCCTTTATATTTCAATAGCCGAAATGCTGTTACATGATTTACGAACCACACTTACATGATTTACGAACCACACTTACATGATTTACGAACCACTCTTAGTTCTTACTAAGTAACGTTTCCTTGTAGAGCGTGAGAACAATGTGTCAGCACAACGGTCACGTAGGCCTTTAAGAATAGGATATAAATATAATAGAATACTTGTAATATTTAGTATTAAACGGACCTCAAATCGGACCGGTTGTACTCATTTTAACTTTAAGTTTTTAAAAACCCTTTTTCGCGGACCCACTACTTGACAACCTCTATAACATAAAATTGTTTGTGAATGAGTCATTTTGAAAGAGTGTCAAAACAATTGCTTGCACGTGTTTACTAATGTATTGTTAACGTAAACAATACATTACCTATTGTTTGCTTTATCTAAATTCTTCAAAGCTTTGCGGCGGTTAGCTTTGTGACAACGACTTACTTGCATCATAAGTTTTTGATCGTTGTCCTGGAAGTAATGTGAATAAATATGATTACATATTTAATTTTCAGTATTTTATTGAACCCATTCTTCTGATGCATTCGAGTAAAAATGGGAGCAAGGGTACATAGAAACATATACATACCTCTATATTAACCTTTACCTAACATAGAACCTTGATAACTTAAAACCTCTATAACTTAAAATATTTTGTGTTTCCCTTGGACTGTAGCTTATCGAGGTTCTACTGTACATTGATTTGGCAATCGCATCGAAACACAATGCGTCTCACAAGTAATGCATGTTATATTAAATTAGATTTTTTAGTTAAATTTGAATGTGTCTACGTCTGCTAGGTGATTTTGATGATCGGTCGGTCAGTTCTAGTTATAATTCTTACACTACTCGTTCATCGAAATATGCCGTGTTTAAACAATCCCTGCTTGGTAACTGGTAATTCAGGCTTCTAGTTTTATCCACAACGAAGTAATAGGGGGTCGAAAATGGCCTGAACTGCTTCGAGAAAAGGATGGCCGTGCCCCAATTTTATTTCCCATAACTAATTTATAAAATTACCTCCCAAATCTTTCGCGCTGACAACTTTCACCAACAACCGTTTATCACCCAGCAGTTGTATACAGCCCGCAGTTGAGTTGGGCGTCGAAGTGTACATATGCCTGTCTTGTTGGAGCTGTAATAATACCGTTTATAAATCCATGATTATAAAAATAAAAATAAATATTACAAACACATGGTACAAAAAAAACTAATATATATACAAAAATATGAAAAGCTGTGTTGTACAACATGCGGACACAACCAGCGAAATCAAGTAGGTACATAGAAACAGTGATAGTAAAATACTGTCTCTTTTCATCACATCACATAGTTAAACTGAAAGGGACAATGAGTTTAGACCGAGGTAAATGACAAATATTATTAATTAATATAATATATAGATATTATTTGTCAACAAAAAAAACCACGTAATTAGTAAATCTACTATAGCTATCAAACTATTATCTGTATTAAATCTTACATGCTTGACAATGTACTGTGATTGGAGATAAATACACTCTTTGTTTTTTTAATGTAATCGCGGGCAAACGGGCAGGAGGCTCACCTGACGTTAAGTGATACCGCCGCCCATGGAGACTCAATGCCAGAAGGCTTTTAATAATTCACGCCCTGAGTCGTCATATTTGTTTGTTAATTCGTTTAAAAAATCAGTTAACTAATAAATTTAGAACATATCTTCAAAATAATTAAATGTGACATACCATGGAGTCATAATGTACCGGCAGTCTTGTGGTGGACTCGGGGAGGTACCGCCTCAATCTGGGGCACGTGGGGTATGGGGACAAGTTGAACTTGAGATTCGTGCTCCGGAGGGCGTTCACTATTATATCGCTGAAAAATTAAATTAAAAATTATTATAAGTAAATTATAGTTATTTTAAAGTTCAACTTAAACAATCTTGGTGAAAAATCACATTTTGAACTGATAATACCTGACCAGTTGTTGCAGGTCAGACTCGGCTGCATTTGGTTTCAGAGGTCCGACCGGCGCAAGCGCAATTTTGACTTCAGGCCATCCGTCACACTTCAATTCACCAATCAATTTCTCCGTAATACAAGTAATATGTAATCGGGCACGAAATCTGAAATTATATATAATATAAGAATAGAAGTTTTGGTTTAGTGGTTATGGGTGTGGTTTTTTATAGAACAAGAGGCTCATCTGATATTAAGACATGAACACTCTCAATGCTAGAGGGCTCGCGAGTGCGTTGCCGGCCTTTTAAGAATTGATACGCTCTTGCCGGCATTTTAAGAATTGATCGATCCAAACGGATTTTGTAACAGTTGGCATTAAATTTTATAACAATGTCCAAACGTAAAAATTGTCTTGTCTTATTAGTTGGAATACTTAGCTTATCGTCAACGCTACAGGTATGTTGGGCAATTAAATAACTTGATAATGTCTAACTACTACTAAAAGTCCACTTATCGCTTAGTAGACTTTACATACTAAAACATGTACCTAATGGATAAGGCTTTCATGAACTATATACACTAAACTAACTAACCTACATAGAAATAATAATTAAAACAAATTTAAAAATAGTGTGGTAGTGCAGCTTTAATGCAGGCATTTCCTCGCGGTATTGCAATACTCATTCGTTGCGGAAAGCACCAGTTCTGGGGTCACCGGTACCACGAGGCGCCAACTTAAATCTTTAATTAGCGCCTGTGCCCTTGAACCCCACAGCCCAAGAGTCTCTACTTCAAATGAAACAAAAAACGATCTAGAAGTTACCTGTTAACATTGACACGATAGTGGGACACTTCCACCTTTTCCCCTTTCTGGCTGAAAGCTTTAAGCTGGAAGGCTGGTGTGGCCTCGCAGTCACAGGTGATCGTCTGAAAATGAATGTATAAATATCACTCCTAAAGAGAAAGATAAACAATGTAAATTAGTTTTGTAAATAGTTATTATATAAATCAGGTTGATTGCCCCCAATCTTTTAACTAAATTTCAATTTCGTGTAAGTACCCTCTAGATACCCCAGGCATCCTATCATCCCATTTGTCCCTTTCAGAAGAACGCGTTTTGGTCGAAATTTACCGATATCCAGATTGGGCATTCTGATAAACGAGCTAGGCCTGGATTATAGTAGTCCCCTCACACTTTGAAATTATTTTTTCTTTCAGTTAAAAACTAAAAGAATAATTTTTCTAGTTTTTTTCATCTTTTCGTGTATGTTATGTTCGCCTATAAGTGCTTTTGACATTAAATTTTGTACTTTATTCTTATTGTACCGAGTGTGCCGAGCTTTGGCTTTTATAAATAAATAAATAATAAAAAAAATATACATATCCTATAGTTTTACATTTATATACGAAGGTCTTAACGATCTAATGACATTTTTGAATTTACCTCCCAAATAAGGCAGGAAAGCATTACTCCTAATTAAAAATAAATCAGTGGCGCTACAACCCTAATTGGACCTCAGATTTCTAAATCTGTTTCACGGTCATTTGTCAATCTAATAGGCAAGTAGGTGATCAGTCTCCTGTGCCTGATTCACGCCGTCGACTCCTAACGATGTTTTCCTTCAGCGTTTGAGAGAATGTTGAATGCGCACATAGAAATAAAGTCCATTGGTGCACAGCCAGGGATCGAACCTGCGACTACAGGAATAAAATTCGCACGCTGAAGTTACTAGGCCAACACTGCACTACTCCTAACTAGTCAATAAATTTTGCTAAGGAGACAGACATAAAAGGCAAGATTTTACTTTGCACATCTGAGTCATTGCAATATCTGCATTTAATTCTGAACCGAAACCAAACTGTTTAAGATTTAAAATGGTATATTTGTGGACTACCCACGCAGTAATATTTTGAAATATGATGAGTTATTTCAAAGGACTTAACAACGGGGATATAGCTCAGTGGTAGAGCAATCGACTGCAGATCGATAGGCCCCCGGTTCAAACCCGGGTGTCCCCTAAGGTGAAATCAATTTTTTACATTTTTGATTATTTTCTTTTCGTATACTATACGGCAACTTGTTTTCAACTTTTGTTTTCGCTCTTAAATTTCCTGACTAATTTTAATTAATAGGTATTGATATGGATGAGATTTTGATTTAATAATACAATTATTTCGGCGGGAATCGATGCCCGTACTATTTATAATTGCTCGATTTACGACTGAGGAACTTTTTTAATTACTCTTTAGTAATTATCGTAATTTTTCATATTAAAATGTTTACATTACACAATTAAATACATTTTTTGATCCTTAATTTATTTCATTACAATTCTTTCAGGAAATGAAAAAATAATTCATCAATCATAATAAAAATTCAACATAAAACAATTAAATGAAAGGCAAATAGTGACAATATTAAATAAAAACTATCAATCAAAACATATATTGAGAATGTTACTAAGTAAGGGAACTTTAACTCTTAATGTAGAACTCTGAGTACAGCTGTCATCGTGGGATTAATCCAATAGAAGTCGCGCTAAAGGCTATCCAATGTGTTCAATTCAATTTAAATAGATTACCGGATGTAAGCGATTTGTTTTGTTGCACTCAATTTGATTAAGAATGTGGCTTATATGACAAATGGTCATATGATTAGTAAATAGAACTCAAGAACAGAGTTACTTCCCCTTAATAGAAACTGTAAGTAGTCTTACGCCCGAACCCAATAATGAATGCACAATCTCAGATTGAAAACAATCTGAGATCAGACCGTGACAGTCGATTGATCTCCTATCTGCATCCCAATAACCAAACCCTACGAAGACAATCCATTTTGGACGGATAAATTGCTCTTTGTCGTTCCATTTTACCGAGTTTTCACTCATATTTGATAATCAATGTAAACCAAATAAAGTAAATAAAACCGTACAAATAACAATAAAATATACATGTGTATGTTTAAAACATAACAAACAGTTTTTTTCATTATTTAAAAAACTGGTGTAAGTTAAAATCTGTTAAAATAATTAACTGTTGAAATCGAGCTTTCGTCAACTGTCATTTTCATACAAAGTTCTATGCACAGACACCGATACGACCTCCCATGGATAGCTTGTATCGACAGATGGCTATTACAATCCGTCGATTGGTCATTGGCACACCGATTACAACATTTGGATTAAGATTACTATCTCAGATGGTGGATTATTGAGATAGGTTAATGGGTTCGGGCGTTATTGGACACTTTCTTAGGTTAAATATCCTTTTTAGTAAATTAGGTTAGGTTACTTATTAGTCTTAAGTAAGGCCGTAATGTTCCATGATGTCTCAGTGAAGCCATAGACATGAGGTATAAAAAAATATGACAAGTGGATCAAATACAATTTGATACATCCTTTAAGTTCCTGTCAATTTTTTTTGTTACAGGAGGCAAACGCGCAGAAGGACCATCTGATGAGTGATACCGCCGCCCATGGACACTCACACTTGCTAGAAGGCTCGCAAGCGCGCTGCCGGCCTATTAAGAATTGGTACGCTTTTTTCTTGAAGGACCCTAAGTCGAATTGGTTCGGAAATATCTAGTACCTACCCACCTTAGTGCCTGGTTATACATAGCGGTGCTGCGCGGCAAAAAATGCCTTAAGAAACGCTCAGTTGTGGAACAGACGTCGAGGTGATACGGATGGTATTTTGTATTCTGCCGTGACGTCCGATGTTGAAACTATTACTTGCTAAACGTTAATCCCTAATTTACTCTTAAGCATAAAAAATATGTTTTTTTTATGTCCTAAAACAACATGTTAGAGAAAGAAAATATGTCGTCAGAAATTTTACATACACACATAAATTATATTTCAAACTAGCAAGAAAAAAAGCAAGGCCAAAACTAAATAGAAATATAACCTCGTTAAAGAGATCCACTACTTCGGTAAGCAGAAAGATTGTTGTAAAATAAATCAATATTTTCATTCGTAAGTTGTAGGAGCGAGATAGCCTATAGAGATAAGTATATTATTCACTGGCGAGATTAATAAATCAATTCTGATTTAGATAGAATGTTTTAGAATTCTTTATAGTACGGGAGGTAGCAACGTTTGAAAAGAAAGAATTTTAGGTCAGCTGATTTTGTGATATGTCTTCCTTCTTGCACTTTCGGTTTATTTAAATATAAGAAAATCTAAAAATGAATTTGCCAGACATTAATTCGATTGTTAAGTCTTGAATTAAAACGAAAAAGTATTGCAGTATGATGAAGCATTGCATTTTAAGAAGCGTAATTTTTAATAATAATCGCGTCTGGCACATAGTTAGCAATGTGAAAAATGTCTGGCAATAAAAAAAGTATGTCAGGTAGACTTATTTAAAAACGAAAAATTAAAAATTACGCTTCTTAAAATGCTTTTAAAATCCAGGATATTGGCTGGACAGATAGGATGCGCACTAAAGAACGCAACCACTACCGCCAGCCAGATTGCCCAGACTCTAACCGAAAGTGCAAGAAGGAAGACATATCACAAAATCAGCTGACCTGAAATTCTTTCTCGAAAACGTTGCTACCTCCCGTACTATTAAGACATAGGTACTTAGGGCGTTTTACTAGCTAAATAAATAATCATGCTTTGTTTCATGTTTCTCACATCAACACCAACTATGCAAAAACCTTTTTATATCGCGCAGCCCGGACATACAACGACCAATATTTAAGCCTTGAGTTCTTTACGCTATCGCGAAATCTAACAAGGAGTATTAATATTATCAATATCAAATCACCTGCATCATGAACACACCCCACATACACACCTTCACGCAGTTACATACCCTCACTTTTACACCATCACACAACACAGCCGAATTAGGTATTTATTTAAATGTATTTAATAATTTTTATTGATTTTTCCTTTCGTAAATATTTGAACCTTGAATATATTATGTATTCCGTCTTTGGCTATATCTTAAGTATAATTGTATATATCAATACAACCAAAATGAAATTAGGTTTTCATTAAAATATTTGACACAGACTATAATAATAAATAAAATTATAGTAGATAAAAAATGTTACTTACAACATCATCTTTGGAGTCGCACTCGCAAAATACATTGGAGATGGATGGGGGATGACTATCCAAAGCACGCACCAATTCCACACCGATACCTTGCTGAAACAATCACATTATAAATTATTTAGTTATTTTAATAAATTAAATATCTAATATATAGAATTCTCATGTCACAATGTTCGTTCCCATACTCCTCCGAAACGGCTAGACCGATTCTTATGAAATTTATAAGGCATATTAAGTTAGACTGAGAATCGGCTACTATCTATATTTCAAACCCCTAAGTGATAAGGGGTGTCCACCACAAAAAAAAAATTGGATAATTTTTTGGATTTGTTTATTTGCTGTTGTATGGCAATCAAGGTTTATAATCATTTACCTACCAAGAACATTCAAAGATCTCCCTACTAGAGTTTATAAAAATCGACTAATGTACTTTTGGAAAAAAAAATATTATTCTATAAATGATTATTTGCGTGAAACATTATACTTAATATTAATTTGATGTGATAATATATTTTAATAATGTGATGATGTAGTGATAAAATAATACATTGACAATGATTATGATTTATAATGTAAGGTAATACTACTATGTAAAATTCTACCATTTAATTATGCCAGAGAAATATGCACGACACTATCTGAGAGAAGATTGTAGCACCATAATATTTTTGTACCACAATCTTGCAAATAAATGATTAATATTATGTTTAGTCGATGTTTACTTTAGATTGATTCATGATCCTGGTACGTACACGGGCCTAAGCTTAGTGAACACAGTTTTTATGGGTTATTCTTGCTGTAATATTACTGCTTTTTGAACGATGGAAATGGATTGCGGGAGATCTAACAACTTTATTGGACCGAGCATTTTTTTTGGAATATTATTCACCAGTATAATACGCGAAATATAACTAATTTGAGTGTACGACCAACCAGGCTCCAGAAGATAAACCACTCCTTATATGGAAATTGCATTCGTTTTCACAACTAACACCCAAGCGAAATTAGAGGAAATAAATTCAAAGCCCTCGTTAAACGGCAATGAATCAATAAAGCTTTTTATAAATTTGACGAATACTTAAATGATCCTAATTTGGGATTGATTTGCTCCAGTTCAAACAATTTGTATGACTCAAAACTTAGCGATTAAAAAAAAGTGGCGGAAAGTTTCTGGCCAGTTCTTCTTGCCCGTTCTATGTCCTTGACTTGCGAACTAAATTTACAATTAATTTAACTTCTTTTTTGACGTTCATAAGTGTACTTGTTTACCTATATGAATAAAGATATTTTGAGTTTGAGTTTATTAAATATAAAACCTAGTATTATTTAATAACGGAACAGACTTCTGCAATAAATTATTTTAGACGAAGTCATATACGAAAAAACAAAATAAAATTAACTACTTATGTATATATATAAAGTATAGACACGCGACACACAAAAACCTATTAAATTAGTGACACATTCGTTACCCTAAGACTCCACTTGACCTGATTTGACCTCGAAGGTTAAGGTGAAATCAATTGACTTTAGTGGCTTCTAAAGGAATAGGTAATCTCAGTCTGGCTATAAGTCTAGACAAATCCCATGGGCTAAAGTCTTAGTATGTCATAGGGACTATTAACGAGTAATCATGGTGTTGAACTATGGGAGCTAGTTATTTTTAATTATCATGAGGATAACGTTAAGCTGAAAATAACCCACACAAGGTAAAACATTGTTTTATCTGCGTAGGATTAGGTTATAGATATAACTGCAACAGATATAAAACGGAAGCCAGGAACAGATATGAACGTTTACATCTTTAAAATAGTAGTAAATCCAAAAACCTGTACCGACCTCGGTGGCGGCTACTATGTCCTATATCTATCAAAATTAAAATATCACACTGTTTAGGCGCTGTATGTTTAGCTTCTGGAAGGAGCAAGACTGGCTTAATTAGCCAGGACTTAAAGCACAATGTATACCACCTGTTCTAACATATGGAAACTTGGGCGCCCACTAAAGCATACAAGGCTACAGGTATGTTAAAGATCAAGGGAACAATGTATGATAGGGAAGAAAAGAATAGACAAAATAAACAATACAGCTTTAAGAAAAGCAACGAAGGTAACAGATGTTACAATAAAAATAAATAAAGTGGAAATGGGCGGGGCACATGGCAAAAGGAACAGAAAAGTGGAGCAAAAAAGTACTGAACCAAACCAAGTGCCCAAAGTACAGCAAACGAAAAAGAGGGAGACAAAGTCAAAGTGATAGTCAAAATCATTTATTCATATAGGTAACGCTGTGTACACTTATGAACTTTAAAAAAACACATATATATATATGAAATGCTTCTTCTAATTTTACATTTACTGCCAGTTCTCAAATCAAGGGCGTAGAACGGAAGAGAAGAACTGGAAATAAACTCTCCGACACTCTTTTTACAACAACTTTTGGCAACTAAGAAGGTGAATAGAAACAGCTGGTGGTACACGGCAGAGAGGAATAAGACGATTGAAATAGAATGTTTAAATGTATCTGAAGTAAAGGCTATTATTATTATTATAACGCACAATGGCCCAAATGGGGGTTTAAGTGCAGTATCTGAGTCCACACTACATAGACGGTTAGTCATTAGTCCAAGGCATGCCTAGATAGCATTGACTAGAAGGATATTTATTATTTTGTCTTATTTCCAAAAGTTATAAGCGCTAACAAGCTTGTACCATAAGATGGAATTAGTATTGATAGTAAACTTTGATCGAATCTTGTGTTAGAACCTGTGTTCATACATAAGCAATATCTATGAAATCTTATTGTTTAATCTCGCGTCTGTTTTATTGATCAAGTTTTTTTAAGCAAAGTGATTAGTCTTCTCTGCTGCAAGTCGTTCATTTTGTGTCAAAGATTGTAGCTTGGCACGATGTTTTCAATAACAATGATACATTGATTTACACAGCCAGAGGTAGGATATCACGCTTTATCACTAAACTAGAATTTATTTTTATTTTCCATTTCGTACATGACCCATCCATAAGTATTGGCTACATACCAACTGAACAGTACAACAATACGAGGGCCCCTAGTACCCGGAAGCCCTGTTAGTCCTGTCTAGCGGGCAGAGAAACAGCTGGGCAGGGCTAAGAATGCCCGGCAGAGATCTCCCGACAACCATTGGTCCTGGTAACTTGACAGATGACCTGGTGATGGATGGAAGGCGTTGGATGCAAAGCGCGGGGCTTACTGGAAATTAGGGGAGAGGCCTATGTCGACATGAACCAAGAACAAAAGCGATACGATAAAATATTGCCTTTTTAAAATGGCAAAAACAGCTGACGTCTAGTGGATACTGCATCAAGAGGTTTAAGTGGTAGTCTGGCGTGAAGCCAGATGTGAGAAATTAATAAGTCGATGGCAGATACATTTTGTTATTGTTTATGAATGGGTTCATTGATAAACGAATATAGAGCTACGTATCAGAGGATAAGTGGCCTTCATAATCCACTGTTAAGCTACTGGTTGGATAAGCTTTTTTTCAAAGTTAACATATGCTCGGCACACTGATATATTGGTGTAAGTAAAATAAAATACAAGATTTAATGTGACAAGCACTTATACACGAAGAGAACAAAAAATTAAACTAAAAAATGAATTTATAAAAACTAATGGAAAATTGATTTCAGTGTGAGCGGAGCAACTATTATCCAGACCTAGATCGTTTATCAGAATGATCAATCTGGATATAGGTGAGACAAACAGCGTAACTACAATTTTCCAGAAAGAGCCGAAAGAGATGTGATAGACAAGTAGGTGATCAGCCTCCTGTGCCTGACTATTGTCGACATTTTGAGTCTAAGGCAAGGTCACTTGGTCCATTGGTGCACAGCCGCGGATCGAACCTACGACCTCAAGATAGTGGACGCTGAACCCATTTTTATTTTCGATGGGGAAATGCATTTGCGCATGCCCTACAACGTTCAGAGGTATGTGGGACCAGAATCTCTGCTAATCAGAGACTGTGAGAGCCTTACCCCCTAAAACCACCTCGAGTAGTTCCTACACAGCCGCGTTACAGAGGCTCCGGGGTCAAACTCAAAAGATCTTTATTCATGTAAGTAAACAATTACACTTATGAATTGTCAAGTTAAATTAATTGTAAATTTACATTTACTACCAGTTCGCAAGTCAAGGGCGTAAAGCGGGTAAGAAGAACTGGCAAGGAACTTTCCGCCACTCTTTTTAATCGCCAAGTATTGTCATACAAATTGTTTGAACTGCAGCAAATCAATCCCAAGGATTAGAATCATTTAAATATTCCTCAAATTTATTAAAAAGCTTTATTGATTAATTTCCGTTTAACGAGGGCTTTGAATTTATTTAGTGATAATTCTCTAATTTCGCTTGGGAGTTTGTTGTAAAAACGAATACAATTTCCATATAAGGAGTGGTTTATCTTTTGGAGCCTGGTTGGTCGTACACTGAAATTAGTTCTATTTCGCGTATTATACTGGTGAAAGTCACCATTTGTTTTAAAATCGTTTATATTTCTCGCTCTCGCATTCTACCTACCTCCGGTGCAGTAGGTATACACTACATAGAGGTAGTCTCCTTCTGTAACGCTGAAGCCACTAGGCCAATACTGCTCACAATAAAGATATAGTTAATAAATAAACATGACCAATACCACGTTTTCTGTGGTTAGAAACACCGCAACAACGAAAATAGCACACATTGCCAACCGATAAACTTCAATGTTCTAGCTAAACGTTTGGGAGATACGTAATTTTATTTTACGACACAATTCATACACTCGGAATAACATACAGTGGCGTGATAACCCTGTATAGGTCTTTCAGATTTTAAGCTTTTGCCAATTACTTTAGACATATTAGTTGAAAATAATAGACGGCTGAAATATAAGTCTTTCTACCAACTCCGATTTTGTTCCCTTTGGAGTAGAGACTCTTGGGCCGTGGCGTGCATAGGCGCTAATTAAATATTTAAGTGGGCTTCTGGTAGATAGTACGTCAGAGCTGGTGCTTTCCTCGCTCAACGAATACATATCGCAATACAGCGAGGAAATTCTGCCAGCGTTAAACGTACACTGCCACAGGGACAAAACTTTTTAATTTTTTTTTTATATATTATTACTATGTAGGTTAAGAAAATTAAGAAAATTGTAAATACTGTACATTTGTGTGTTGGAAATAAATAAATAATCATTTGTTTCAAGACGTAGGATTCGTCGCGTATGCTGTTAATAATTAGGATACTTTCTTGTAAACAGTAAAAAACATACATACATATGTACATAACTAAAAATTTATTACATATAAGGTATTACTTAAAAGGGTTCCCAAATCATAGATATTGTAACGTATATCTACTTATTATGAATAAAAACAATTTTAATAAATTTTCTTATATACATCTATTAATCGATAAATTACATAAATAGGTCAGACATAAATGTCTCGGACATTCCACTGTAAAATGCAAATTCACGAACTACTGTAAAACTGTTTTTTTATTGTATTGAAATATCAAATACTTTAAATATTCCTTCTGAACAGAATGAAGTTGCCCACGGAAGATACTACGGCATTGGACATAATTTAAAAACAACATTCGTATAATAATAGAATTTTTGTTACACTTAAAGTAAGAATAAATAAATATTAAATATTTAAATAATAAATATTTATTTATTTAATTTTTCAAGTGTAAACTGAACTTTATTGACTATAATGACTCCTTTTCCAGTCTTTGATTATTTAATTGTAATTAATAATTTGCATGCAATCAAAAACTATTTTTATTATTAAAAGAAGTATAACTTCTTACGCGCATACAGTACACGCACCTTTTTTTTTATTTTGCGACTACACACAAATATATTTATTTATTATATTTATTACACAATATTTTTTTAGGAATAAAGGACGAAGATAAAGAGAAATAGGATTTATTTTGGTATGTCGGGTGATTAATGTAAAGAGATAATACTGACACGCCTCAAAATAGTAACAGCAAGATAAAAGTTAGACGTGTTATCAAAAATATGTAAAATTTGGTTTTCTGGTAACGCAATATTCGAGACAAGAAATGAGCAAACCGTGCCTGACAATTTGCTACCTTGAAAAAAATTTAATTGTTTAAAGCAGGCGTTATTGACGCATTTTTGGGGCACGCTAATTTTCGAAAGTTGTACGGTGTTGCAAGAATAATCTTATTTATAATTTAAGCTTACTAAATTTTTTTTCAGTTTTTATGGAAATTTTCCGATAATTTCGAAACTTCAGTTTTAAATAAAAACCTGGTATATGTATGAAATGGGTGTATATAAATAATATTACTGTTTATAGGCTGCACACGCAAGAATTACATAAACCGAGTGCAACATTTCCTGCGGTCATGTGATACGCAACACAACCTCCTAATGGTAACTGTACACGATTAGCACGATTCGAGTCTCGTTTCTCATTAAATATTGCCACACATCTGTGGCTGTTGACAAGCGGGCTTAATCATACGGAATAATTTACACATGCGCAACTTCGTCTTTGGTACAAAGTACTTTTGTATGAAAATTGATTCTTTATAAAAAATATCATCTATCTCTTTTTAACATAGATGATATTTATTATCTATCTCTTTTTAACATAGCGAAAATACAATTTGAGATAACGTGACGACAAACTTTAGTTAAGACTGATTTAGTTATGATGATAGGGTATTATCGACACTGATTTACACAGAGTATTGTATTTTCGTAAAACACTTCAGAATCAATTTAAAAATATTTCATCATTACAATACTTTATTTTTTTGTAAATGAGGTGAAAATGCGCTGACGCAGGCCCGCGCCATGGTTACGAGCTTGACGCGGGGACTGTGGGGCTGGGTCTACACACAAAGCCATTCAGGGTCGATTCGACCAAACTTCAATTTATACACGAGTAACTATACCAAGAATAATCTATTCCATGATTTTAATCTCGAGTAAATCCATAGTCGTTTGTCCACGTAATCGATAGTATAATTGCGCTAGGAATAACAATACGCGAATAGCAAGAGAATGGTGAACGAAAATAAAACTCGGCAAATAAATGTTGTTCTACAACGGGACAGTGTAAGAGCATACATCATGTCAACTCGATTTTGCCGTATTATAGAGTGAAAAAGTAGCTTTTAACAGGTGTCAAACGACAACAAAAAGTTTTTATTTCTTGTTTGTTTGAGGCTTTCGTCTAAAAAGAAACTTCTGTTGAGCCTAGTTGAATTTCATTCTAATATTATAGAAAATAAAAAATCTAAAAATAAATAAATAAATAATAAATTGTTTAAACGTTTCATTATACAATGCCAGACTATTAATTTAGTGCGTTGCGTTGACTTGAAATTAAAACACAGAATACATATTTGTGAAATGACAGAAATCAGCTGATTGGACTGACTGACGCCATTAAATTATTCTAGGAATAGCTGTTATTCCGTGCGAAACGGCGGTATAGTAGCTATTCCCGAATAAGCCCACTATTCTTAGAATTTGTAGTTGGTAAAACGTAAAATTGATTTACTCTCGATTAACTGACGATTTATTCTAAGATTAAGATTTACTCTTGTTTGGTCGAATCGGCCCTCAGAGTAGTAGCGCGAGCCTACCAACTAAAAACACCTCCACACTCCCTTAAGGTGGGCCCTCGGGGTTCGCCAAAGCATTCAACAGGGCTTTATCATTAGAATATAATTCTATATTATCCAAGGCTATATACGTAAATAGTATCTAGTTATAATTAGGTTATTCCAGTGTTATTTGCGGCCTGGGAATTCCAAAAGCGATCCTAATTATATTTATTCTTTTTAATTGGCCAGGAGCATTGCACGGTGTAAAAAATAAAATTTTAACTCAAGCATTTGACACAGTATCGCAAACAAATACTGATTACTAAGACGTTGATTTATCAAATGATGATGTCACAATTCGTGAGTGAAGCGATAAAGATGAATGTCCAACCATTTATTACGTTTAACAGACCGTATTAAATCCGCAAAACTTTTTAAGCGATAAATTATCTATTGAATTGAATATATATGGACTCTTTTAGAAACTGACGTTAGTCTCCAAGGTCATAACAATGTGTTGGATAAAATCAAACTTGTAGAAGAAATAAAATAGTGTAAATATGCCAACAAATACGAAAACAATATAGTTCTCTCCGGAATCAAACCTAGCACTTCCAGCTTAAACGTAACTTGCTTAATACAAAAGGGTAGTCATCGCAGCCCATGGACACCCACTTTAGTGGGTGCGTTGCCGGCCTTTGAGGAAGGAGTATCCTCTTTCTTTAAACAATTGGAGGACGTAACTCCAAGGGAAGAACCCGGGAGTTGATTCCACATTTCGCAAGAGAAAGTGTCTGAAGCGGACCGTGAAGAATTCTAGCTATCAACGTGATGCTGATAAAATTACTATGTTATTATTATGTCGGTGAAATCATCTAAAACTGCTGGACCTGACTGGTTATTTCGCAACTGGCAACTCTACAGTGAACACAGATGTAAAGCAAGCGTATTATTATTATCTGTTTTGATCCGATAGAAGTCAATCGTTGTCATGTGGCACATCGCCAGTCAGGGGTTATTGGCAGCAGCACAGGTTTAGCGAATAAAAACTATCAATGCCATGTTTTTTTACACTGTATTATTACTACTCGTAGCGCAGTATTATTCTCGTAATACACCTCGTATTTTCGAGATTGCACAGAATAAAATATGATACAAGTATGGATATGTTCGAATAAATTTGAAACAGCTGACTTTAATGGTTTAAACATTAAAATATGAGCTTATAACTAACATAACGTTACGGGTAGTGGATTGGGGTAGTGGTTGCGACGCTAACAAACTAACTTGGCTTATCTAAGGGTTCACAAATTTAGATGACACTTATGTTATTAAACATTATTGGAAACGAGAATGTTAAATAACAATTTTCTTAATGTGGTAAAAAATATGGCTCATTTTGGCTTCAAGTGTGCGATTATTGCTAACATTTTGTTTACGTTTCTACTTAATTACTAAAATATATATACGTATGTAACTTAACTAATGTAAGGTTTCAGTTATTTTTATAAACTACCAGTATTTTTTTTTAATTACAGGGCACTTCGGATCAGAGTCGAGACTGGGCGCAAAGTGTGACATCTGTATGTCAGAAATGTGTTTGGTTTTCATTCAGTCATATTTAGCGCTACTGTTGTGTCTGTCACTGTCTATAGAAGCCGAAAGGCCTAAAACCGCTGTCCATACTATAAACGTGGACTAAAGATATTTGTCACCATGGTTACCAATTGATGCTGCACACAGTTGTACACATTGTAACCATGACAACAAACGCCGCAGACATCGTCGTGAAACAAATGTCGTCTCGCATTCGAACTCTACATTTAAAATATTGGCTTTGGATCTTGAAACTTAAATATCCGTTAAAAACGGGTTTAAAAAATAGTACTTTATATAATATTATATCTCAGCTTGCAATTATTATTCATTTCGAAAAACGAACTAAATTATTTATTAATATGGAAGTAATAAAATAAGCAAATATAATATCACTCACTTAATGGATCAATTTAACAAATACGATTGTATTTTTAAATCAGTTAGTCTGATTAGACATAGAACTCTTCCTGAATGAAGTTACCCTTTAGTGGAATCAACATGATTCTGGATTACAACTAAATACACGTAGTACGTGAGTGTATGTAATTGTAAGATGAATGACTTAATTTAAAATTATTCCACGTTTTTATGTAACAAACTACCTTTCGAAGCGGTATTTTTTTACGTGAATAAGTATGTATGAGCACAGACTATAAAAAGTT